GAAGCAGAAAGCCTGAACAGACCAATAAGAGCGAAAGAAATTGAAGTAGTAATCAAAAAACTCCCAACACATAGAAGCCCTGGACCAGATGGTTTCACAGGAGAATTCTACAAAGCATTTAAGGGAGAGTGAACCCCTACCCTTCACAGACTATTCCAAAAAATCCAAAAAGATGGAAGACTCCCAAACTCTTTTTATGAGGCCAACATCATCCTAATTCCAAAACCAGATAAAGACACAACAAAGAAAGAAAACTTCAGGCCAATACTGCAGATGAACATTGCTGCTAAAATCCTCCACAAAATACTGGCAAACCGCATTCAACAACCCATTAAAAAGATCATACACCATGACCAAGTGGGATTCATTCCAGGGATGCAAGGATGGTACAATATTCACATATCAGTAAATGTAATACATCACATAATCAAAAGCAAAGACAAAAACCACATGATCATATCAATAGATGCAGAAAAAGTGTTTGATAAGGTACAGCACCCATTTATGATAAAAGCACTCGGCAAAGTGGGAATAGAGGGAGCATTCCGCAACATAATACAGGCCATATATGAGGGACCTACAGCCAACATCATACTCAATGGGCAAAAGTTAAAAATTTTTTCACTAAGATCAGGAACAAGACAAGGCTGTCCACTTTCACCACTTCTATTCAATATAATACTGGAAGTTTTAGCCACAGTGATCAGACAACAAAAAGAAATAAAAGGCATCCAATCAGAAAGGAGGAACCAAAACTGTCCCTGTTTGCAGATGACATGATAGTGTACATAGAAAATCCTATAGACCTCACCAAAAAACTGCTTGACCTAATAAATGAATTTGGCAAAACAGCGGGATACAAAGTCAATATCCAGACATCAAAGGCATTTCTGTACACCAACCATGAAACAGCAGAAGCAGAAATCAAGGAAAAAATCCCATTTGAAATAGCAAAAAATAAATAAATAAATAAATAAAATATCTAGGAATAAACCTAACCAAAGAGGTAAAAGACCTGTATTTAGAAAACTACATAACATTCAGTAAAGAAATCAAGGAAGACACAAACAAAAGGAAACATATACTGTGTTCATGGATTGGAAGAATTAATATCATCAAAATGTCCACACTACTCAAAGCAATTTACACATTCAATGCAATACCTGTTAAAGTACCAATGGCTTATTTCACAGACATAGAACAAACAGTTCAAATATTTATATGGAATCATAAATGACTCCAAATAGCTGCTGCAATTTTGAGAAAGAAGAGTAAAGTAGGAGGGATCACAATACCTGACACTAAACTATACTACAAGGCCATTGTAATCAAAACAGTCTGGTACTGGCATAAAACAGGCACATGGACCAATGGAACAGAACAGAGAGCCCAGAAATAAACTCAAGTCTCTATGGTCAATTACTATTTGACAAAGGAGGCAGCAACATAAAATGAAGTAAAAATAGCCTCTTCGACAAATGGTGTTGGGAGAACTGGGCAGCCACGTACAAAAAATTGAAACTCGAGCACCAACTTATACCTGATTGATACAAAAATAAATTCAAGGTGGATAAAAAAGACTAAAATATAAACCGTGACACCTTTACAGTCCTAGAGGAGAATATAGGTAGGAAAATCTCAGATATTTCACGCAGGAACTTTTTCCTGACATGGCTCCTAGAGCAATGGACATAAAGGAAAGAATAAACAAATAGGACCTCATCAAAATTAAAAGCTACTGCACAGCTAAAGAAAACAGTATCAAAATTAAAAGAGAACCAACTGTATAGAAAAACATATTTGCCAATGATAACTCAGAGAAGGTTTTAATCTTCAAAATATATAAAGAACTTACATGACTACAGTCTAAGAAGACAAGAAATGCAATTTAAAAATGGGCAAAGGACTCGAACAGACACTTCTCCAAGGAGGACATACAGAAAATCCAAAGAAACATGAAACGATGTTCAATATCGCTAGCTATGAGAGAGATGCAAATTAAAACCACCATGAGATACCACTTCACACCAGTCAGAATGACTATCATAAACAGAGCAACAAACAACAAGTGTTGGAGAGGTTGTGGAGAAAAGGGAACCCTATTGCACTGTAGGTGGGACTGCAGACTGGTACAACCACTATGGAAAGCAGTATGGAACTTCCTCAGAAAACTAAAAATGGATCTGCCTTTTGACCCAGCATTCCACTGCTGGGACTTTGTCCTAAGAACACTAAAACACCAATCCAAAAGAACCTATGCACCCCGATGTTCATAGCAGCACAATTTACAATAGGTAGATGCTGGAAGCAGCCTAGATGCCCATCAGTAAATGAATGGATCAAAAAACTATGGTACATTTACACAATGGAATTCTATGCAGCAGAAAGAAAGAAGGAGCTCCTACCCTTTGCAACAGCGTGGATGGAGCTGGAAAGCATTATGCTAAGCTAAACAAGCCAGGCAGTGAAAGACAAGTAGCACATGATCTCACCTTTAACAGGAACCTAAACAACAAAAGAAAGAAACAAGCAAAATATAACCAACGGCACTGAACTAGAGGACAGGCTGACAGTGACCACAAGGAAGAGAAAAGAGAATTTCAGGGGACAATGGGGAGGGTTTACAAAACAAATTTAAAGTACACATGGACAACAACTAGGGAGAGGGTGGTAATGGGAGGGAAGAGGAGAGGGTTGGGTGGGTGGGCTGGGTTGGCAGTAAAAGGCAGAAAACAGTATTTGAACAATGATTAAAATAAAATTTTAAAAAATGCAGAGGGAACCAATAGTGATGGGAAGGAAACTGGGACTCAAAACAATAGAGTGGACCAGAAGGAAGAAAGAAACAATCAAACAGAAAAGAATGGAGAAATAAGAATTCAAAAAAAAAAATGAGGAGAATCTTAGGAACATCCAGGACATGTTGAAACATTCCAACATCCGAATTATAGGGGTACCAGAAGGGGAAGAGGAAGAGCAACAAGTGGAAAAGTTATTTGAACAAGTAATAAAGGAGAATTTCCCCAATCTGGCCAAGGAAATAGACTTCCAGGTAGGCCAGGAAGCTCAGAGAGTCCCAAAGAAGTTGGACCCAAGGAGGAACCCACCAAGGCACATCATAATTACCTTGGCCAAGGTGAAAATGAAGGCGAGAGTCCTAGAAGCAGCAAGAGGTAACGGGACAGTAACCTACAAAGGAGTTTCCATAAGACTGTCAACTGATTTCTCAAAAGACACCTTGCAGGGAAGAAGGGGCTGGAAAGAGGTATTCCAAGTCATGAAAGCCAAGGACTTCCATCCAAGATTGCTCTATCCAGCAAAGCTTTCATTTAGAATGGAAGGGCAGATCAAGTGCTTCTCAGATAAGGTCAAGTTAAAGGAGTTCATCATCACCAAGCCCTTATTTTATGAAATGTTAAAGGGACTTATCTAAGAAAGGAATATTAAAAAAAAACATGTATAGTAAAAGGACAGCAAACTCACAATTATGAACAACCACACCTAAACCAAAAACAAACTAAGCAATCAACTAGAAGAGGAACAAAACCACAGAAATGGAGATCACATGGAGGGTTAGCAACAGGGGAGTGGGAGGAGGAGAGAGGGGGAAAAGGTACAGAGGATAAGTAGCATAGATGGTAGGTAGAAAATAGACAGGGGGAGGGCAAGAATAGTATGGGAAATGTAGAATCTAAAGAACTTATGACACATGGACATGAACTAAGGGGGGAATGTGGGTGAAAGAGGGTGAGCAGGGTGGAGGGGAGTGGAGGGGGAAAATGGGACAACTGTAATAGCATAATCAATTATATATATAGAATAGAACCCCCCCACCCCTCCAGCCCCGGGGGTCAATCTCTCTGCTTGGAGGTGGCCCACTCCCATGTTCTGTGGAGTTTGCTGTTGCTTAATAAATCTGCTCTCTCTTTCTGCTATAAATTCCGTGTGTTCAGTTCAATTGTTTGTCCATATTCACCAAGAACCTGGTTACCTGTGCGCACCTGTGACAATATCGGGATCATCACATCCTCCCTGTTGGTGGCTCATGGCCCAGCCCACCCTGAGGAAAACTTGACTCAGCTTCTCCCCAGGACGGTCCCCGGGTCCTCAGCTCCGTGGTCCGAGGACCAGACACCTTCATTCATGGTCCACACTGAGTGCCTCAGCGGCCACGTTTCTGGCCTGATTCTCAGCTGCTCTTTGCTTTCTGTTCTGCTTTTGGGAAGGCTCTGGTCACCCCCACCCTCACAAGCTAGATCCTACTGTCACTATAAAATTTATTGAGTGTCAAAGTAAATTCACCACTAATTGTCTTTCTGCTTCTTCTCCACTGCAATCCCCAGGAGGCAGCCCCACCGAGGGTGCCCCAGGAGTGACGTGGGAACGGATGCAGAGGAGTGGAGTGTGAGGGGGGCTGGGAGCGCCTGGGGCACAGCGTCTGCAATGGACGCAGTAGGGTCAGGGTCAGGCTGGATGGCACCTGGGAGTCAGACACATGGGCCAAGGCTCCAGCTTGTACCAAACTCACTCAGAAAGCTCCCCGGTCGCTGTGTGGCTCAGCTGGGTCCCCCACCCAATCAAGAGTGCTAAGGTCCCACCCACAGAGACTCAGAATTGGGACTGCATTGCAGAGAGTACCTTGCTAGAGGTGATCAAATTTAAACAAGATGCTGAGAGTGGACCTCATCTACCTTGACTGGTGCCCTTGGAGGAGGAGAAAGCTGGGACACAGAGAGGGACCCAGGGGCTCCCCAGCAGCCACCCAGAGAGGAAAGGCCACAGAAGGGCAGAGGGAGGGGGCGGCCATCTGCAGCCAGAGAGACAGGCCCCAGGAGCAACCTCTCTGCCAACACCTCGACCTTGGACATCCAGCCTCCAGACTGTGGGGAGCAAACCTCCAGCTGAGCCACCCAGGCCGTGGAGCACTGATGGAACCACATCCCAAAACACAGGTGTGTGTGCCCCCGGAGAGACGAGCCAGAACACCGAGACACCGGAGCTGCGGTCACTGAGGCTTTATTGGATTCAGCCGAAGGGAGAGAAGAGGAGAGCCAACCTCTCCAAGTTCTCTTCTCCGACAACCGGAAATTCGGCGTTTTTATGCCGCTGGAAGAGGGGGATGGCGGCTTCGGAGACCTGGAGAGAAGCCTGTGTTCCCTCCAGCTCAGACCTGGCCTCTTCTTATCAGACCAGTGGCCGCAGCTGGGCTGGGCTCCCTGGGACACGGTCTTCCTTCTGCAACAGGCTCGGGAAGCCCCCTGGGACCCTGAGGTCATCCCCTGCTTGACAAGGAGACAGCACCTTCTAACCACACTTCTGACCGCCTTCCCAAGTCTAAGGACTTGAGCAGGAAGAGCTGTCACCCCGGGGGCGCCGGCCTGACTGACAACACAACCCCTGGACTGCAGCTGCCCCCAGAGGCAGGGGGCACTCAGGTGGCCCGGGGCCGGGCCTCAGGGCCCCTGAAGGAGGCCCTGGCAGCCGAGTGCCATGTCTCTCTGCTTGTCACGCTGCTGCACTTGGTGCCCATTGTGCTCAGTTAATGACAGGGTCTGGTTAGTGTGGTGACATGGGAGGGCCCCTTAAGGGGTGGGGCTCCTTCCTTTTGGGGACAGGGAGGCCGGGAGGGGTAAAGGGAAAATGGGTGTGGGGGGTGCCTTAGGGATCAGAGAGGCAGAGAGAGCAGAGCTCAGGTGCAGGTGGTGGAGGGAGGGGGAGCAGGATGGAACAGAAGGGGGAGGGGGCTGAGGGAACACTTACCAGAGGATTTTATCAAGGGTGTGATCCTGAGCGTAATAATTTCCACGGATACCCTTCCAATACGTGAAGGACCTTCCACGGTTGTCCACATAGTTGTCCCAACAGTATTTAAAATCTGATGCAAAGAGGGGAGACAGCAGTCAGGTCAGGCCAGGGAGCCTCTCTGTCCTGACCCTGCCCTGGCCTCGCCCCTCAGGGCCTGGTGTCCTCCCTGCAAGACGCCATCACTCCTGCCTCAGATTCCCACGTTCCTCTTCCACTCGCCCTCCCTGGGGAATTCTAGGTGTCCCCGAGCCTGGTCCGATCCCCGGGACAGCCCTGCCCCCACGCCCTCTGCTCTCACCCTCGGGAGACATCATGGCCACCTCGACCCCCGCCTGGTCCAGTAGTCGAAGCCCCTCCTGCTGGTCCTGGTCGTCACGTTTGTACAGGCGGGAGGCGGACATTCTCAGGCTGACGTTCTCGTGCTCCCCCAGGAAGCTGACCACCTCCTCTGCACACTCGAAGCAGGGGCTCCAGGACATGTACCAGGTGACAAAGTAGTCCCCATGAGGAGACAGAAGTGTGTCATAGAACCAAGAGAGGAAACGCTGTTCTGCATGGAGAGGCTCCTCCGGGTAGACCTGGTGGAGGTGGGAGGGCTGATGGGTGGAGGGACAGGGCACAGGGGTATCAGGGGTTGGCTGCAGGCTGGGGGGAGTGCTCTGTCTCTGCTGAGACTGCGTCCTCCTCCAGGGAGACCTGGGCCCAGCCTCAGAGAAGACAGGAGGCCAGCAGGGACGGGGGTGGGTTCTGCGCTGTGGGTCAAACCTGCTGGGTCTGGAGGAGTCAGGGGTGTGGTTGAGGAAGACCCAGCCAGCAGAGCTACCCCCTGGGGTCCCCTAAGCAGCTGGGGTGCAGCAGGCCCGACTCTCTTTGGTGCCCTTCCCTCTAAGGCCGCAGAGGCCCTGGGTGAAGGGCAGCAAATGCTCTAAAAGCGGCCCCGTGGGACAGGTCAATGACACAGTGCATCGGGATTCAGAGGGTCAAGTGGGGACATCAAGGCCTAAAACTGAGGACAATGGTGTGGGGAGGAGGCTCTGGCATTTTACATATTATAGTTTTTCCACCTCCTTCCCTTTGGTGACAATATCATGCCTTCTGTACCTGGTTTCGAAAGACCCCCCAGTAATAGGCCTTGGGAGAGTTGTACTTTCTTTCTTCCACCTGGAAGCAGATGTAGGTGTTGTTCTGCACAGGGGCAAGTAGCAGGTTGTGGAAGTTAAACATGTAGGTGTTGGGATGTAATCTGTCCTTTGGTTTGCTGGAGATGAGAGAGAAAACAGAAGATGCAGAGTGTTCCTAGGGCTTTCTCCCATCTGGTTTCTCCTAAACAAAGGCGTCTAGACCCCCTGGGTGCTGTACCCCGTTCATCTACCCAGGATGACCTGCCTCCTCTCAGCCAAGACCACAGGCAGAGGAAGAGGAGGGGTCTGCAGGGACAGCAGGGACCCTGTCTCTCATGCAGGACCCACGTTCTGCTGCTGTGAACAGCACACACCCACCCCTCCATCAGACTCCTGGCCACTCATGCCCAACCTGCTTGGAAAAAAAGAATAATAAAACTGCCTCCATCCCCCAAAAATAGCCTTTAATATTGAGGTCCAAATCACAACTGACTTTTCACTTATACAGGCTTATTTTTTAAAATACCAGGCTAACACCTGAAATTTCAGGCTCATACTACTGTTCTAAGAGCTCCATGTATGTGAACTCTACTCCTCCCCAAATCTAGGGGCGTCACCCGTTGTACAGAGAAGGGAGCAGGGCAAGACAAGTACTGGCTGGTGGAGTGCAGGGCAGGGGAGTGACAGAGCAGGTCCCCTGCCCGGGCAGAGCCCTGTCCAGCTCCAGCAGGACCGGAAGGGCAGTGTGTGCCCTGGAGGGTGAGGCGCCCTTTGCTACCCAGTTGTGCACGGAGAGCCTTTCTCCTGACCGTGGGCGGCCCTGTTCTCCGCTCTAGCTGCTGGTCGCTACACTTACACACACCAAGGATGTGGCCGTGTCTGGGAGCAGAGTGGCTCACTCTTGTGCTCACAGTGGGGCCGCCTGGGGGAGCTCAGGGACCTTCTGGCCCAGGGAGCTGCTGTCACAGGGTGCGTGCGGTGGGTCCACAGCACAGAAAATGGATGGAAGTGCTTCCACCTACACTGACCCGCTGCCGCCTGTCCCTTAGTTTCATTCTAGTTGATAAGAGTGAGCAGAAAAGGCTGTAGCTGGGACAGTCCCCACAGGCAGGGAGGGGACAGCCCAGCCTTACAGACAGGCAGCCTGAGAGGAGGACCAGGAGGACACAGCCAGGGGACATTGTGGGAGGAACCATTCAGCAGCAGGAGTGGGGGGCATCCCCAGATCAGGGCAAGACCCCCGATGGAGAGGGAGCTGAGGGAAGGAGCCCAGAGGGAGGAGAAGCCAGGCTGGCGGTGGGGTGGACGAGGCTGAGGACAGACCCCGCAGGGCCCACCGTGTAGGAAGGGGCCACAGGGGGGACAGAGTGGGCAGCGGTACCTGGACCAGGGCTCCATGACGTTGTCCTCCTGCTGGGCTGTTTCTCTGCTGGTATCTGCCCCCAGTGCTGGCTCTGCCTTTCTGCTCAGAGGGCTCCTGCTTCAGGAAAGTCCCTCATCTGTGATCTCCCAGCCTTGTCAGCTGAGGCCCCACCTCCTCCTGTGTGGGCTGCAGGGTGGGAGGGCCCTGGGCTGGGGGCCCCCTGTGGTTCTGACCCACCTTCCCTGCCTCCTGTGCCCTGCCTCCTGGCACAGCTCCTCCCCTGCTGGACACAGGCCCCTCTGGGCAGCAGGACCAGCAAAGGGAAAGGGAAAGTGAGGATGAAAAATAGGGGGTGGGACAGGCCCTGCTGGAGGGAGCAGGACAGAGGCCTGGCTCCCCTGGGAGGGGCCTGCTAGAGCCCCTTCCACAACCCCCATCCCAGCCCGCGTCCACACCCAGTTTTCACCCCTCGAAGCCTGTTGAAGAGCACAGGTGAAGAGAAGGCTGGACCCTGGGTCAGGGACGGATGTGCCTGGAGTTCCTGGTTCTGGGTGAAGCATCTGGGAAGTCCCCTCGGCCTTCCCGTGGGGGGAGAGAGGGCTGCTGCCCCAGTCCCTCTGCTCATCAGGGTTTCACACGTTCGGAGGGGGGGCCTCCATGAGTCACAGGGCAGATGCTGTGCTTCCTCAGGGGGCCAGGCTCTCAGCTTATGCTCTTTCCATATGAAGGCGCTTTAATTTGTTTAAATGGTTTTAATTTTTTTTTGTGTGGATTGATTTTTGAGAGAGAGAAAAAGACAGAGAGAACAGGGATAAGAAAGCACAGATTGGTCGTCCCACTCATTCATACAAGCCCTGGTATCTTCCTGGGGGCTCTGACTGGGTCAACCCTGCTTATTGATGCTAGTATGGTTAGAGAGTTTTACTTATAGATCATGCACTCTCTGAGTCACGAGGCAGGAAGGTACTTCCATCTCAGGGTCCCAGGAGACGTGGCCACGCCCACCCTGAGGTGGGGCTCTGGGCGCTGAGCACAGGACGGGGCTCCACCCGCCACTTCCTTCACCCAGCTGAGTCAGTGGACAACAAAATGCGTTCTAGAGGACCTTAATGTGCATTAAAGGAAGCGACACAAAGAAGGTTCCAATATCGTCTCATCCTTGCCGTCACACGCACATTTATTTCTTCAGCGCACTGCGGGAAAAGGAAACAGAACAGAGGCCCATGCGGTCGCAGGCAGGAACGGCAGAACCCCAGGTCCCGGCGGACCGAGCACTAAACGGAACTGCTGAGATCAGCGGTGATGTCAGGCCTCTGGCTCCATTTCCCTGCAGGCGCCGCGGCTCTGTCCTCCTGTGTGGGCTTCGTTCCACTCCAGCTCCTTCCCCTGAGGTGCAGAAATGGTTACAGCAGGCCCAGGCCCCAGGGTTCTCCCCATCTTCTCCCCCAACCATCCAGAGAACCGAGAGCTGCGGTGTCCAAGATTTCCCGGCAAAAGTCCCGGGATACACGCTGATTGGACGAGCTTGGTCACATGGCACATCTGAGCCAATCACAGAGTGGCTGGGGCAGAACCCATGGATCCGCCCACTACTACCTTACTGGCAGAAGGTCTGCCCAGCAGCAACAGGAAGGCCAGGCGGAAGGGAGGTCTCACTTATCAAACTATTCTTAACATGTAGAGTAGTACCTTGTAATTTCAAATCATTGATGAACTCAGCCTTTTTTTTTTTTTGGTACAAATTGGTGATCTGTGGTGTGAAAACTCTGAGGAATTGTGCCTAAAGAGGATGCTTTAAAGATCTAATACCTAATGATTATTTTTTGCAAATCCATGTGCTTCTAGTTGCAAATGCTCACGCAGTTATTACAAATTCACACCCCTAACAAAACTCTCCTTTACCGGTCCCCCCAGAGGGAATGGATCAGCCAGTGGCATGGAGAGAGCTGGAGCATCGGGTCAGACGTCCTGTTGTGCCACGTTCTGAACTCTGTGCTCATCAGGCACCAGCCCCACCCCCATATCAGTGTCCCCGCAGACGGACCTCCCCAGGGCAGCGCCTCTGTGTGCGTCATCCTCTCTCTTTCTGCTTCTGCTTCTTTAGTTCTTCCTTCCAGCACCTCATAAATCTGGTTTTTCTGTTTACACAAGACCTGTCATGCCTGCCCTAAAATGGGCCCCTCACCCCAGGTCTCCCTGACCTTCCATGTCCACCAGCTAAAGCTAACTGAGAAAACCACAGCATCTGAACTCAACAAAATGCACCTGCACCTTGCCTTGGGCTTCAAAGAAGTAATTTCAAAATCCAGAAGAGATGATCTGATTGGTGCATCTTGCATCAGGTTCCACGCCATGACCAGTTAGCTGTGGAAGCCTGAGGGCCCACCAGTGTGGGAGAGGAGAGAAGGTGGCAGCAAAGGAGATACTGACTCAATATATCACTCAAGGTGTGTCTACAAATCCTTTGGAACATCGTGACACCTGCTGTAAGAGTACCTTCCAGGGTCAGTTTATAAAAGCAACACAGCCTATGCTGCCCAGTGAGTGGAAGGCAGCACTGAAGCAGACCAACTGGCAGCAGAATAAGCCCCCGGCAGACAGAAAAACCTTTATTTCCCGATGTCAGGAGGAGAGAGCTGGCCTGCCCCAGACCCAGAGCTGCCTGCACATCTGGATCTCACTGGAGTCTGGGTGGCTGCAGAGCAGATTCATCCAGGAGCTGGAGAAAAAGACATGGCGGTAGCTCAGACCACACATCATCACCTGGGCTGTATCTGGCCCCCTGCCACAGCTGTTATGTCTTTATTGGGGACCCTAATGATTTCTCGGTCATTGGAAGTTACTCGTTACTTTGCTCTCCAAAGCTGGAATGTGTATGAGCCACTGGGGTACCAGAAAGACATGAGTCCTGCTGAGGATTGGACCCATCCTCCTCCTCTCTCAAACCAGAGACCAAAGTCATTGGCTCCAAACACTGATTGGCAGTAGATGCCATCCCTAATCAGCTTCTCCTTCTCTCCAACCTTTAAACATGTCTCCCGACCATGAGCAACATGCTTGTGTGGACTGCAAGACCATTTGGCCCTTATTGGACTGTGAATCTGTGTCACATAAGAAGGAATTAGTCAGAGGTGGTGGGGAAATATGGCCTTTGGGGTCCTCAGGAGCTGAGTCTGAGCCCTAGACTCACCACATAGGAGCAGTGGGATCTCACTCAGGGGGCTTGCCTCTATGCACCTGGTGGTTGACTGGGAAATTTGTGATAACTCTCCCACAAAAAGTAAATTTGAAAACCTAGAATCAAATGGCTGACATAGTTGAATCTCTGATGTTTGCCCCTTTGCCTTCCTTCATGGCAGAGATGAAAGCAAACTTTATTCCAAGTACTGAATTCAGGCTCTTTCTCTCACACCCAACGTGTTATCAAGTCAACCAGCACTTATTACAGCTACTGTATACACTGGCAAGGGATTCAGAGTCCTGTGTCTCCATGCTCATCTATAAACTTACTCTCAGTGGAAAATGGTGGGATCATGAGCTTCCCAACTTCCCAGAGGACTAGGTGACTGTACAACTTTGTAAAAAATGACAAGAAGAAAAGGTCCTGTTTTGTTCTCTTGGAAGTGTCTCAGCAGCAGGGTTTTCCAAAGAACTCAGTATATTTTCCCCTCTCCTCTTTGACTCTCATCTCCTGGCTCACTTTGTTCCCAGGTCCTGGGAGGGGATCCACAGGAGTCACCAAAGCCCCACGTGGAAAATGGAGTAGCACTGGAGATGGGCAGCCAAGGTTCAGCACCACGGACAGCACCAGTCGGCCCTGTCTGGTCCTCCTGGCCCTGGCAGGTGAGACCTTTGGATACTAGCCCTTGGCCTTACTGCCCTTGTACACGAGTGCTGCGTCTGAGGGAAGAGCCTCCCTGCCTCTCATTGGCTTGCTTCCTGCTGCTTGACTAACTGGACCACAGCTCCTGCTCTGACCTGTTAGGACCCTCCCCTCAGGGCTGCAATCCAACAATTCCCCAGGAACTCTTTCCATTTGGACCCGTGCTTGACAAAGGGGACATTCAATGGTCTGTTTCTGGGGCAAGCAGATACAAAGGGGCTGGGCATTTGTGGATTTTCAGGAGATCAAGTTTTAAGCCAAGTCACAGTGCTTTTCTACTTTAAGCTGCCTACTCAAGTCAATGGCAAGTGTGCCCAGCAAGGGTAGAAAAGAGCTGAGCCCAGAGTATGGCTGACCCTTTCTTGCTGGCCCACCTGTGGCACCTGGAAGGGTTGACCCCTCCATCTTCAAGACTCCACTGTTAGTGTGATGCCTCTCATAGGGAAACTCCTTGACTGACTGCCCTTCCTCCTCCTACCCCCTCACTGAAAGCCTTGAACAACAAATCTGGACCACTCTGCTTGCTCTGTTCCTCTGTCTTCCTTTCCCTCTGTCTCAGATCTCAGGATACACCATCCTGTCTTTACCTCCAAACTCTGTTCCACCCATCTGAAACCTTATACCTCAGTTCCTTAGGCTAGCAATGTGGAATCACCTTTGATTTTTCTCTCCCACTTTCCCTATGAAAACCACTAATGAAACTTCTTATCCTGTGATAGAACATCTCTAAATCAGTTAGTCATCCAATATATTCTCAACTAAAATATATTAGAGTGAAGAACAGGGTCTTATTTTTGCATACAACTACAACTGCCATATCATTATGTATAGTTATATTTCACCCATTTCTTTTTTGTTTGTATTTTTGTTTTTGTTTTGGCTACTAAAGCATAAGGAAAGACAAAACATACAAGCAAACACACCCCACCTACTTATATTGTTTTCTTTAAATGTTCTTCCCAAGCATTAAGTGAGTTTTTTTTTCATTCTCTTTTGTCTTTTCACCCATCTCCAAACCCTCCCCTCTGACAACTGTCAGTTTGTTCTCTGGGGAGAGAAGAGAAAGCTTGTTGACCAGAGGCCATGCCCACCTCCCTCTGCTGAGTGATCAGATGGTCGCAGCCCAAGGTAACAGCAGAACAGGAACCACACAAGCTACCACTGTGAAACCCAGCAACTGAAAAGGGGGGGTGATGGGGGGTGAGGCAAAGACAGGAAACAAAACCAGAGTTTCCTCTCAAAATGAGTCTGCAAGCCCAAATTAATGAAACCTACAGAGAAATCTAATTTGAGAAAGGAAGTTGATGCACACTCCCACCAGCTGTGTCTGTGGTGTGTGGATGTGATGAACAAATTCACATGGACTGCAAAAGTCCTGTGGAGAAAACGGGATGGCAAGGCCACTCTCTGTGTGACAGATTTCTCCGACCCTTGCCAGGACAAGCTTTTATTGCTTTTCTGGGAGCATTCCCTCAAGGAAGGTCTTCATTCATCCTTGTCAGGCACTAATGATCAAACAACAGGTAACATCCAAAGAACTATGGGGGCTTCTTCTGAGTCAGGGTCACTTAGCAAAAAGGCCATAAAACTTTGGGAAACAAACTCATTTCATGGTTGGACCTTTATCAGAAAATTGAGGACAATCTTAGCAAAGCAGGTTTCACAGGATTTTAGGCATTGTTTCTTAGGCCTGATGGGGGAACCACCCATTCCTGCTCAAGGTGCACCACCCTCCAGCATTGTTTCAGGATTAAGTCAGGTGGGGGTAGTAAGGCAGCCAAGAGATTAGAAGACTTCTTGCAGACAGAATGAGGACTCAGGCTATGTCAAAGCTGAGAAGTGAGGGTCCATTGCCCCCTTCTCCTATAGCCACCCAATGCCTTCCCTGAGGGCCCTTTGTGACTGTGCCTGTCTTAGGTTGTCCCTCCTTTGAGGAATCTGACTCATCATTAGCTCACCAGTCATTTGTCCTGGGCCAAGCAGGGTAAAGTAAAGGGGGGCAGAGGTGGTCCCTCTACAAGGAAGTAAGCTTTGTCTCCTTACTGGCAAAGGAGACCTTATCGTCCCAAGTTCTGTAAGTCAGCCTTAGCCATGGGGTGTTAAAGCTTCTGAAACCAGGCAGGGCATTTCCAACAGGAAATCAAGAGATTCAACATATGAAGCCACTCCAGATTAGGTAATTTGACAGAACAATGTGACAGTGACTTGCAGCAGCTCATTGGAAGTCGTCACAGATCTGAACACCTGCACTGACTCCAGGAAGACAGCTTTCCTCCTGGGATTCCTCAGAGGTGGGGTGACAGACAGAGCCCACCATGAACCTCTGGCACACGGTGTGAGCTGCTGCCTTTCTCCACCTGCTGGATCCCTGCCCCTGACCGTGTTTCAGGTGTCAGACCTTCGTCCCAATAGGCTGGTCGGGGAACATAACAGAGGAATCCCTGCAGCCAGAAGGAGGAAGATCAAGGTGAATGATTAGAACACATGCCTAGTGTGGTAGGCTGAAAAATGTTCCCCCACCACATGTCCACATGCTAATCCCAGAACCTGTGCTCATGTTACCTTGTCTAGCAAAAGGGAGTTTGCAGCTGTGAGTCAAGGAATTTAAGATGGAGAGATTATGCTGGACACCCCGCCCCCATGTAATTACATGGGTCCTTATAAGAGGGAGGCAAGAAAGTCAGGGCCAAAGGAAGGGGGTGTGGCTGTAGCCCCACAGAGAAGGTGATGTGCACTGATGATGTAGGAAGGGCCCACAGACCACAGGCCACAGAACGCAGGTGGCCTTGAGGAGGTGGCAAAGGCAAGGAAGCAGGTTCTTCCTTCAGAGCCTGCTTCCTTCAGGAGCCCTGCTTTCAGCCCAGCAAAACTGCCTTTGGATTCTGACCTCCAGAACTCCAAAGTGATAAATTCATGTTGTTTTAATTCATTAAATTCAGGTTAATTTGCTACAGTACTGACTGGGAATTAATGTAACTGCAAAATGGGACTTCTTGTATTTTTGGCAGAAGGGTGCTCATAATAATACCTATTATATTTTAAATTTATTCTTCATCTGACATCACATTTGCTTTTGATAGTATATGGTTTCATCTCTGTGTTTCCTGGCAGCCTTTCCCGAGGTTTGCCCGTTCCATTAGCCTTTCCAAAGAACTAGGAGTTGGCTTCCTTACTCACGTCTGTTTTGTGGTTGCTTTCTAGTTGGTGTGTTCCTGCTGTCATCTCTTGTTTCCTTTTTCCTACTTTCCTTGAGTTTATTCAGCTCTTCTCTTTCCAACTTCTTGTGTTGAATGTTTGGTTTACTGATTTCCAGCCTTTGACGTCATATAAGCCTCTCATACATTCTCATATGTGAAATTTTTTATGATTGTTCACTTCTAAGCATATTCTAAAATCTACCACACTCTCTCTTATCCATGAATTATGGAAAGGGCTCTTTTCATTTCTGTTTTTTTGTTACAGACTTCTTTTGGAATTACATGGCAGTCAGAAAATATTATTTTTTCAATTCAAATTTTCAACATTAACTAAAGGTAGATGTTTTGGTGAGTTAAATGGTCAATTTTGACAAATGTTTCAGGCATCCTAAAGAGAATGTGATGTGTACAGTTGGTGAAATGTTCTAGAAATTCCCATTAAGTGAAGCTTGTATTTCCATACTCCCCATCTCCTCTACCTTTTCTTTCTTTCTTTCCTTCTTTCTTTGCTGCTTGCTGCATCCGAGTTACTGAGTGAGGTATGTTAGACACAAGAATAATTAGCAACAAAGAACCAGCTGGCTCACAACAAGGAACCAAACAGAGAAATCCAGAAAGTTTCTACAGGACAACATCTGAGTCCCTTCAATTCACATGAGGAAAACAAGGATGATTCTAAATTTAAAAAAACATACAGAGATATAGGCAGGTTGGGCAATGGATCCTAATTTAGGAAAAACCAACTATAATGGATATTTGTGGGATAATTGACTTTGGGCTCTCTAAAGCCCAAGGCCCCTCTTGCTCAGGTCCAAGAGGATGCTAGTGCCCTGCCTTCCAGATGGCCAGTGCCTCGGTTGAGCCAGAAGAGGGCTAAAGTCATCATCAACTTACTCCAGGGAAGGGGAATGAAGAGTGAAGGGGTCAGTGTCCGGCAATTTACATCAGGACGGCCAAGATCAGGAAAGAAAGAGCTGGCCCGTGGAACACCCAAGACATCCGCAAAATGATTTTAAGGACATATTTCGAGTGTACACCTTTCCTCTTGCTTTTCCATCCTCCCGGCAGCCTGCCTGGAATCCCAGCATATTGAGGCAGCAGATAGTCAGAAAAGAGGAACATCTGGAGGTGCCCCAGGGCTAAGATGAGGGACATCAATGCAGGACAGAGACCCTGTTCTAAGCCCCGTTGTTCTCCCTTTCCGGAAAAGTGCTGAATCATGGTGACTCATGAATGCACCTGTGCAGATGTTGCATGACCCTGCGTCATTATAATAGCGTTATCATAAATGAACGCTGTGTGACCCCCTTCTCCAGTGGCCAATCAAGGAAATTCATGGGAGACCACATGCGAAGTAGCTTTAAAGTAATACAACTCCTTGTACATGCCCAGTAAAAGCCCGCCAAAACTAGCCAGGAAATATCTGCCCTATAAGAATAGAGCTCGGACTTCTGGCCAAGATGGAGGCATAGGTAGACACACTGTGCCTCCTTGCACAACCAAAATAAGGTCAGCAATAATTTAGAAACAAGATAACAACCATATCTGACAGAACATTGAACTTTCTGGAAGTCGTACAACCAAGGAGTTAAAATAGACATATTCATCCAGACTGGTAGGAGGGGCAGAGTCGGGAAACTGAAGGGAGAGGGGATGGTACAAAAAGTGGTGGCACTGGATGTATAACACATCCCGGGTACATAGGGCATCCCGAGCCCACAGGCGCCTGGCAGACCCAGCGAGGTGGTGACTGTGAAGGGAGGCACTGCACGCAAGGTTCCTGGCTGTACGGGATACATTCGAGTGCAGATAAACAGGCAAAATTGGGCAGTGACACAGACCTCGGGAAATAGAACCTTGGGACACTGATTGAAAACACCTGTGGGGGATGAGGTAGAGGGAGAAACTCCCAGCCTCACAGGTGAGTGTGTTGGAGAGACCCACAGGGTCCTAGAACATACACCAGCCCACCCACGGGAATTAGCACCAGAAAGGCCCTGTTAGTTTGGGGGAAATGGTGGAAGGGACTGAAATCTGACAGAGAGAGTAGCAAGCGCCATTGTTCCCTCTCTGTTCCCCGCCCCTACATACAACATCACAACCCAGCAACTGTGTTGCCCCGCCCTGGAGAACACCCAAGGCTCTGCCCCTCATACATAACAGGTGCAACCAGACCAAAAACAAACAAACAAACAAACAAAAAAAAACAGAACAAACAAACAAAAAAACACCAGACTGAAACCAAAATACAAATCAAAGCCTCAGAACGAATACCTTTAAGTGACCAAGAGATAGCCAGCCTATCAGATGCATAGTTCAAAGCACTGGTGATCAGGATGCTCACAAAATTGGTTGAATTTGGTTGCGCATTAGGTGAAAAAAATGAAGGCCACGATAAGAAAAATGAAGGAAAATGCACAGGGGGACTTCTAAAGACGGCAGCTTTACTCCAGGCAGCATGATTCTCGGCTTCGGTGAAGAGGAGGGGAACTCGCGGATCTGTGGAGGAACAGAGCAAGTGGCCGAGGTTACCGAAACCTTTTTGAAAACAGGACATCAAAAATTATAGCGATCATTGAAAAACCAGACAGTAAGGGGACTGCTTCAGGACAAAAGGGATCCAGGGATCAGCTCAGGGACCAGGGGCGTTGCAGTCCCCAGGCCCGGTGCACCCGGGTATGCCTCAGGACACCCGGGAGAGTGGAGTTGCTCTCCCTCCCCGGACTACGGGGATTGAGCAACATCAGGGGAGACCTTGTGACTTGAAGGCACAGAGAGGGCAGTTGGACTGGGAGAAAATCACCCAGGGGCTGTGAGCACCCACCCATAGCCCTGGGAGAAGTGAGTGCCTCCAGCCAGCATGACCAGGGGCGGCCTGGAAGTATGCCCGCACCCCCAGACCAGTGGGAGTGTGCATCTGTGGAAAACCCAGACCTCGCAGCCCCAATCCAGGAAAGGGCTCGGATGTTCTCAGATTTCTGGAGCCTGTGTTGGTGAACTGTGGAAGTGTGCGCCCCATCGGGAATCCTGACTCTCGCACTGTGAACCCGGAAGGGACACTGCGCTTAGTGTGTTCCTAGAGCCTGAAACTCAAATAATTGGTGAGTGTGCATGCCCTTTTACAATCCCCAGAGATGGCATCGTGAATCCAAAAAAGTTGCGGGTGCTTCCTGAGATCATAGAGCTTGCCGTGGTGGAATTTGGGGGAAGGGCACGTGTCTTTGCAATCCCGGGACCTCGCATCCTGAAAGTGAAAAGATTCAGGAGCCCTGCGGGGCCACGGAACACGGGAGACCAGGGCAGTGAGCTCCAGAGAGGGTGCTCGGGAGCGCCCAGGGTCCTGTAGGGGAAAGTCAGATTAGCCCTGGGGAGAGCGTCCTGCTAGCCCTGAGGATAGTACCTGAGATACTTACTGAGATTTGACTGGGAAGAGTGATAAGCATTTCAAACGCCCCTCAGCCTGCTGAAGCCAGCAAGATCAGAAAAACTGGTCTGGCCAGTTAGACACCAACAAGAGGTGTTTTTGTTTTGTTTTGGTTTGGTTTGGTTTTTTGGCTATTGTTGGTTGATTGATTTTATCTTGTGTTTTAAGTGACTTTTTATTTTTCAATTCTTATTATTTTTATATCTCTCAATCCCTTCTGTTTCTCTTCCATTCATCCTAGTATTATTCCTTCCACTCCAAATTTATCTCTCGTACACTCCATCTTCTGCTTTTTTTCCTTTTTTTTTTTTGATCTTGCAACTTACTGCAAATTTGTATTATCTTTTTCTCACTTTTCTAACATTTTTTGTTTTAATAATATTTTGGTATTCTTTTTCCTTCTGTGCAATCTTCTTTGCTTCGCTGGTTATACTGTCATTTGATAGGTTCCCCCTGTTACCTCAGTCACAGTGTGTTGATAATTTACTATCCGTCATCTGTGTTCCATTAATACACATCTCAAGGTTCTATACTCCTTATTCTTGTTTTCTGGATCTCATCAATTCTGCTACAAGACTGTTGCTTTAATATTACTGTAAATAAGACCTAGTTCATACAATTGTAAATACTACTCAACACCCCTACCTGATCTCAGCCCACTTTGCAATTCCCTGAACTATACTATTGTGGGGGTTCCCTCTATTGTTTTACACACTACTCCTATTCTCTAATCTTTATTCCAACCCTACCTTAGAATCTGACATCCCACAGCCTCACAGCTTTCTAAATCCAACTAACAATTCTTTCATCCCCAATAAAAGTCTTACCTTCTTTCCACCCTTTCTAAAACATGGATAGTGGGGTGGAGGATCACGGTTAACACTGTAAGGAGCCAAAGGATAAGCCATCTCTTCTCTACTGGCTGCTAATGTAAATATCATAGTATACTGTCTTGCTGTCTTAAACCATTTTGCCTTACTTCTCCAACTGATCACAAAAACGAGTAGGGGGAAGTTGTGAACACCAGGATACACAAAGGAGACTGCACCACTGAATCTCTAGGTATTCTACCACAGAAGTTCACACCATAATCACAGGGAACCAGAACAGATCAATTTAAGAAACAGAGGCTAACAAGAAGAATCCCACAAACAATGAGAAAACAAAGAAACAATCTCTAAATGAAGGGAAAGGAGGAAGCCTCAGAAAAAATGCTAAATGAAATAGAGGCAACTGAACTCTCAGATATTGAGTTCAAAACAATGACTATCGGGAAGTTCGATGAACTCACAATGAGCTACCAGAAACTACAGGGAAGCTACAACGATCTCACTGCAAACTATATCAACATGAAAAATGAAATAGAAACCCTCAACAAGGGCCAAGAGGGAATGAAGAATGCCATTTCTGAACTGAGGAACACAGTAGAAGGAATGAAAAGCAGGATTGATGAAGCAGAAGATCGGATTAGCAAGCTAGAGGAAAAAGTAGAAAACAACACCCAGAAAGAGCAAGAAAAGGAAAAGAGGCTCAGAAAGAATGAAGAGGGATTAAGAGAAATGCAAGACAATATGAAAAGTAATAATATCCATATAATAGGGATACCAGCAGGAGAAGAAGAAGAGCAAGGGATAGAAAACCTATTTGAAAAAGTAATGAAGGAAAACTTCCTTAATTTGATGAGAGAAAAAGTCACACAAATCCAGGAAACACAGAGAGTCCCAATCAAGAGGAACCCAAAGAGGCCCACCTCAAGACACATCGTAATGAAAATGGCAACATTTCAAGACAAAGAGAGAAGATGAAAGGCAGCAAGGGAGAAACAGGAAGTAACATACAAGGGAGCCCCAATAAGGCTAACAGCTGACGTCTCAATGGAAACATTCCAAGCCAGAAGACAATGGCAAGAAATACTCCAAGTAATGAGAACCAGAGGTCTGCAACCAAGGCTACTTTACCCAGCAAGGCTCTCAATCAAGATAGAAGGCCAAATAAGAAGCTTCTCAGACAAAAGAAGTCTAAAAGAATACACCTCCACCGAACCAGCTCTGCAAGAGATTCTAAAGGGACTGCTTTAAGGAAGGGAAGGAAAACAGAGAGAGAGAGAGAGAGGAACACACGAACATAAAAAAACAATTAATAAGGACCTATCCATAATAACCTTAAACGTAAATGGATTAAATGCTCCAATCAAAAGACATAGAACAGCTGATTGGATGAGAAAACATGACCCACACATATGCTGCCTACAAGAGACCCACCTCAGGATAAAAGACCTGCACAGGCTTAAAGTGAAGGGCTGGAAACAAATCTTCCAAGCAAATGCACAGGAAAAAAAAAAAGCCGGGGTAGCAATACTCATATCAGACAAAATAGGCTTCCAAAAAACGCCCATAAAGAGAGACCCAGAAGGTCACCTCATAATACTCAAGGGAAGAATCCACCAAGAAGACATAAACATTGTAAATATATATGCACCCAACATAGGAGCACCCAAATACATAAAGAAAATCGTAGAGGACCTCAAGAAAGATATGGACAGCAACACAATTATAGTGGGGGATTTTAACACCCCACTATCAAACATGGACAGATCTTCCAAACAAAATATCAACAAAGATATTGTGGCATTGAACAATACCCTAGAAAAAATGGACTTGACTGATATATTCACAGCCCTCCATCCCAAAGAAGCTAAATACACATTCTTTTCAAATGTACACAGAACATTTTCAAATATAGACCACGTGATAGGACACAAAACAAGCCTCAACAATTTCAAGAAAATTGAAATCATACCAAGCATTTTCCCAGATCACAAGGGACTGAAGCTAGAAATCAACCCCCCAAAAAAACCCAAAACACTCAAAATCATGGAGATTAAATAGCATGCTATTAAACAATGAATGGGTCAAGAATGATATTAGGGAAGAAATCAAAAGGTTTCTGGAAACAAATGAAAACGAACTCACAACAACCCAAAGCTTATGGGACACAGCCAAGGCAGTCCTGAGAGGGAAGTTCATAGCAATACAGGCCTACCTAAAAAAGTTAGAAACATTTCAAACAAACAACCTAACCCTACATCTACAAGAGCTCGAGTAAAAACAACAAAGACAGCTCAGAGCAAACAGAAGGAAAAAAAATAAGCAAGATCAGAGCAGAATTAAATGACATAGAGACTAAAAGCACAATTCTAAAGATCAATGAATCCAAGAGGTGGTTCTTTGAAAAGATAAACAAAATTGACAAGCCTTTAAGCAGACTCATCAAGAAAAAAAGAGAGAAGACCCAAATAAACACAATCAGAAATGAAAGAGGAGAGATTACAATAGATACCACAGAAATAGAAAGGATTCTAAGAAACTACTACGAAGAACTGTATGCCAAGAAGTTTGAAAACCTAGGTGAAATGGACAAATTTCAGAAAAATGTAATCTTCCAAAACTCAATGAAAAAGAAGCAGAAAGCCTGAACAGACCAATAAGAGTGAAAGAAATTGAAGTAGTAATCAAAAAACTCCCAACACATAGAAGCCCTGGACCAGATGGTTTCACAGGAGAATTCTACAAAGCATTTAAGGGAGAGTGAACCCCTACCCTTCACAGACTATTCCAAAAAATCCAAAAAGATGGAAGACTCCCAAACTCTTTTTATGAGGCCAACATCATCCTAATTCCAAAACCAGATAAAGACACAACAAAGAAAGGAAACTTCAGGCCAATATTGCTGATGAACATTGCTGCTAAAATCCTCCACAAAATACTGGTAAACCGCATCCAACAATCCATTAAAAAGATCAGACACCATGACCAAGTGGGATTCATACCAGGGATGCAAGGATGGTACAATATTCGCAAATCAGTAAATGTAATACATCACATAAACAAAAGCAAAGACAAAAACCACCTGATTATATCAATAGATGCAGAAAAAGTGTTTGATAAGGTACAGCACCCATTTATGATAAAAGCACTCGGCAAAGTGGGAATAGAGGGAGCATTCCGCAACATAATACAGGCCATATATGAGAGACCTACAGCCAACATCATACTCAATGGGCAAAAATTAAACTCTTTTCCACCAAGATCAGGAGCAAGACAAGACTGTCCACTTTCACCACTTCTATTCAATATAGTACTGGAAGTTTTAGCCACAGCCATCAGACACTAAAAAGAAATAAAAGGCATCGAAATCAGAAAGGAGGAACCAAAACTGTCACTGTTTGCAGATGACATAATAGTGTACATAGAAAATCCTATAGACCTCACCAAAAAACTGCTTGACCTAATAAATGAATTTGGCAAAACAGTGGGATACAAAGTCAATATCCAGACATCAAAGGCATTTCTGTACACCAACCATGAAACAGCAGAAGCAGAAATCAAGGAAAAAATCCCATTTGAAATAGCAAAAAATAAATAAATAAATAAATAAAATATCTAGGAATAAACCTAACCAAAGAGGTAAAAGACCTGTATTTAGAAAACTACATAACATTCAGTAAAGAAATCAAGGAAGACACAAACAAAAGGAAACATATACTGTGTTCATGGATTGGAAGAATTAATATCATCAAAATGTCCACACTACTCAAAGCAATTTACACATTCAATGCAATACCTGTTAAAGTACCAATGGCTTATTTCACAGACATAGAACAAACAGTTCAAATATTTATATGGAATCATAAATGACTCCAAATAGCTGCTGCAATTTTGAGAAAGAAGAGTAAAGTAGGAGGGATCACAATACCTGACACTAAACTATAGTACAAGGACACTGTAATCAAAACAGCCTGGTACTGGCATAGAAAGAGGCACATGGACCAATGGAACAGAACAGAGAGCCCAGAAATAAACCCAAGTCTCTATGGTTAATTAATATTTGACAAAGGAGACAGCAACATAAAATGGAGTAAAAATAGCCTCTTCGGCAAATGGTGTTGTGAGAACTGGACAGCCACGTGCAAAAAAATAAAACTCGAGCACCAACTCACACCTGATACAAAAATAAATTCAAGGTGGACAAAAGACTTAAATATAAACCATGACACCATTAAAGTCCTAGAGGAGAACATAGGTAGGAAAATCTCAGATATTTCACGCAGAAACGTTTTTACTGACATGTTTCCTAGAGCAAGGGACATAAAGGAAAGAATAAACAAATGGGACCTCATCAAAATTAAAAGCTTCTGCACAGCTAAAGAAAACAGTATCAAAATTACAAGAGAACCAACTGTATGGGAAAACATATTTGCCAATAATACCTCAGACAAGCGTTTAATCTCCAAAATATATAAAGAACTCACAAGACTGCACTCTAAGAAGACAAGGAATCCAATTAAAAAATGGGCAAAGGACTTGAACAGACACTTCTCCAAGGAGGACATACAGAAAATCCAAAGACACATGAAAGGATGTTCAATATCGCTAGCTATCAGAGAGAGGCAAATTAAAACCACCATGAGATACCACTTCACACCAGTCAGAATGACTATCATAAACAAAGCAACAAACAACAAGTGTTGGAGAGGTTGTGGAGAAAAGGAGACCCTAGTACACTGTTGGTGGGACTGCAGACTGGCACAACCACTATGGAAAGCAGTATGGAACTTCCTCAGAAAACTGAAAATGGATCTGCCTTTTGACCCAGCATTCCATTGCTGGGACTTTGTCCTAAGAACCCTAAAACACCAATCCAAAAGAACCTATGCACCCCGATGTTCATAGCAGCACAATTTACAATAGCTAGGTGCTGGAAGCAGCCTAGATGCCCATCAGTAAATGAATGGATCAAAGAACTATGGTACATTTACACAATGGAATTCTATGCAGCAGAAAGAAAGAAGGAGCTCCTACCCTTTACAACAGCATGAATGGAGCTGGAAAGCATTATGCTAAGCTAAAGAAGCCAGGCAGTGAAAGACAAATACTATATGATCTCACCTTTAACAGGAACCTAAACAACAAAAGAAAGAAACAAGCAAAATATAACCAAAGGCACTGAACTAGACGACAGGCTGGCAGTGACCACAGGGGAGAGAAGAGGGAATTTCAGGGGACAATGGGAAGGGTTTACAAGAACAAATTTAAAGGACATATGGACAACAACTAGGGGGAGGGTGGTAATGGGAGGGAAGAGGAGAGGGTTGGGTGGGTGGGCTGGGTTGGGAGTAAAAGGCAGAAAACTGTACTTGAACAATGATTAAAATAAAATTTAAAAAAATAGGCACAGGGAACCAATAGTGATGGGAAGGAACCTGGGACTCAAAACAATAGAGTGGACCAGAAGGAAGAAAGAAACAATCAAACAGAAAAGAATGGAGAAATAAGAATTCAAAAAAAATGAGGAGAAGCTTAGGAACCTCAAGGACATCTTGAAATGTTCCAAAATCTGAATTATAAGGGTACTGGACGGGAAGAGGAAGAGCAACAAGTGGAAAAGTTATTTGAACAAATAATAAAGGAGAACTTCCCCAATCTGGCCAAGGAAATAGATTTCCAGGAAGGCCAGGAAGCTCAGAGAGTCCCAAAGAAGTTGGACCCAAGGAGGAACACACCAAGGCACATCATCATTACCTTAGCCAAGGTAAAAATGAAGGCGAGAATCCTAGAAGCAGCAAGAGGTAAGGGAACAGTAACCTACAAAGGAGTTCCCATCAGACTGTCAGCTGATTTCTCAAAAGAGACCTTGCAGGCAAGAAGGGGCTGGAAAGAGGTATTCCAAGTCATGAAAGCCAAGGACCTCCATCCAAGATTGCTCTATCCAGAAAAGCTTTCACTTAGAATGGAAGGGCAGATCAAATGCTTCTCAGATAAGGTCAAGTTAAAGGAGTTCATCATCACCAAGCCCTTATTTTATGAAATGTTAAAGGGACTTATCTAAGAAAAAGAAGATAAAAATATGTAGAGTAAAATGACAGCTAATTCACAATTATGAACAACCACACCTAAACCAAAAACAAACTAAGCAAACAACTAGAACAGGAACAGAACCACAGAAATGGAGATCACATGGAGGGTTAGCAACAGGGTAGTGGGAAGAGGAAAGAGGGGGAAAAGGTACAGAGGATAAGTAGCATAGATGGTAGGTAGAAAATAGACAGGGGGAGGGTAAGAATAGTATGGGAAATGTAGAAGCTAAAGAAGTTATGACACATGGACATGAACTAAGGGGGAAGGTGAGTGAGAGACGGTGAGCAGGGTGGAGGGCAGTGGAGGGGGAAAATGGGACAACTGCAATAGCATAGTCACCTTTATATATGTAAAACTCTTTGCTTTCTGTTCTGCTTTTGGGAAGGTTCTGGTAACCCCCACCCTCACAAGCTCGATCCTACTGTTACTATAAAATTTACTGAGAGTCAATGTAAATTCACCACTAATTTTTTTCTGCTTCTTCTCCACTGCAATCCCCAGGAGGCAGCCCCACCGAGGGTGCCCCAGGTGTGTCGTGGGAACGGATGCAGAGGAGTGGAGTGTGAGGGGGCCTGGGAGTGCCTGGGGCACAGCGTCTGCAATGGACGCAGTAGGGTCATGGTCAGGCTGGATGGCACCTGGGAGTCAGACACATGGGCCAAGGCTCCAGCTTGTACCAAACTCACTCAGAAAGCTCCCCGGTCGCTGTGTGGCTCAGCTGGGTCCCCCACCCAATCAAGAGTGCTAAGGTCCCACCCACAGAGACTCAGAATTGGGACTGCATTGCAGAGAGGACCTGCCGAGAGGTGATCAAATTTAAATAAGACGCTGAGAGTGGACCTCATCTACCTTGACTGGTGCCCTTGGAGGAGGAGAAAGCTGGGACACAGAGAGGGACCCAGGGGCTCCCCAGCAGCCACCCAGAGAGGAAAGGCCACAGAAGGGCAGAGGGAGGGGGCGGCCATCTGCAGCAGAGAGACAGGCCCCAGGAGCAACCTCCCTGCCAACACCTCGACCTTGGACATCCAGCCTCCAGACTGCCTCCAGCTGAGCCACCCAGGCCGTGGAGCAGTGACGGAACCACCCCCAAACAGCAGGTGTGTGTGCCCCCCGTGCGAGGAGCCAGAACACCGAGACACCGGAGCTGCGGTCACTGAGGCTTTATTGGATTCAGCCGAAGGGAGAGAAGAGGAGGGCCAGACCTCTCCCAGTTCTCTCCTCCAACAACCGGAAATTCGGTGTTTTTATGCCGCTGGAAGAGGGGGACGGCGGCTCCGGAGACCTGGAGAGAAGCCTGTGTTCCCTCCAGCTCAGACCGGGCCTGTTCCCGTCAGACCTGGGCCCGCAGCTGGGCTGGGCTCCCAGGGACACAGTCTTCCTTCCTCAACAGGCCCGGGAAGCCCCCTGGGACCCTGAGGTCATCCCCTGCTCAACAAGGAGACAGCACCTTCTAACCACACTTCTGACCACCTTCCCAAGTCTAAGGACTTGAGCAGGAAGAGCTGTCACCCCGGGGGCGCCGGCCTGACTGACAACACAACCCCTGGACTGCAGCTGCCCCAGAGGCAGGGGCACTCAGGTGGCCCGGGGCCGGGCCTCAGAGCCCCTGAAGGAGGCCCTGGCAGCCGAGTGCCGTGGCTCTCTGCTTGTCACACTGCTGCACTTGGTGCCCATTGTGTGCAGTTAATGACAGGGTTTGGTTAGTGTGGTGACATGGGAGGGCCCCTTAAGGGGTAGGGCTCCCTCCCTTTGGGAGAGGGAGGCCTTGAGGGCTGACAGGTAAATGGGTGTGTGGGGTCCCTGAGAGATCAGAGAGGCAGAGAAGACAGAGCTCAGGTGCAGGTGGTGGAGGGAGGGGGAGCGGGAGGAACAGAAGGGGGAGGGGGCTGAGGGAACACTTACCAGACGATTTCATGAAGCTTCTCAACCAAATCATAATAATTTCGACGAAAAACCTTCCAGTACCTGCAGGACATTCCTCCGTTGTCCACAAAGTTGTCCCAACAGTATTCAAAATCTGATGCAAAGAGGGGAGACAGCAGTCAGGTCAGGCCAGGGAGCCTCTCTGTCCTGACCCTGCCCTGGCCTCGCCCCTCAGGGCCTGGTGTCCTCCCTGCAAGACACCATCACTCCTGCCTCAGATTCCCACGTTCCCCTTCCACTCGCTCTCCCTGGGGAATTCTAGGTGCCCCCGAGCCTGGTCCGATCCCCAGGACAGCCCTGCGCCCACGCCCTCTGCTCTCACCCTCGGGAGACATCACAGCCACCTCGATCCCCGCCTGGTCCAGTAGTCGAAGCCCCTCCTGCTGGTCCTGGTCATCACACTTGTACAGGCGGGAGGCAAAGATGCTCAGGCTGACGTTCTCGTGCTCCCCCAGGAAGCTGACCACCTCCTCTGCACACTCGAAGCAGAGGCTCCAGGACATGTACCAGGTGACACAGTAATCCGCATGAGGAGACAGAAGTGTGTCATAGAACCAAGAGAGGAAACGCTGTTCTGCGTGGAGAGGCTCCTCCGGGTAGACGTGCTGAAGGTGGGAGGGCTGGTGGGTGGAGGAACAGGGCACAGGGGTATCAGGGGTTGGCTGCAGGCTGGGGGGCGTGCTCTGCCTCTGCTGAGGCTGCGTCCTCCTCCAGGGAGATCTGGGCCCAGCTTCAGAGCAGACTGGGGACTGGCTGGCGGGGGTGGGGGTGGTTTACACCCTGGGGTTCAGAATTGCTGGGTCAGGAGGAGTCAGGGGTGTGGTTGGGCAGGACCCAGCCAGCAGTGCACACCTGGGGCCCCCTAAGCAGCTGGGGCTCAGCAGGCCCGACTCTCTAAGGTGCCCTTCCCTCCAAGACCGCAGAGGCCCTGGCTGAGGGGCAGACTGACGGGCAGCAGATGCTCTAAAAGCGGCCCCGTGGGCCAGGCCAATGGCACAGTGCATGGGGATTCAGGGGTCAAGTGGGGACATGAAGGCCTAAAACTGAGGACAATGGTGTGGGGAGGAGGCTCTGGCATTTTACATATTATAGTTTTTCCACCTCCTTCCCTTTGGTGACAGTATCATGGCTCCTGTACCTGGTTTCGAAAGACCCCCCAGTAGTAGGCGTTGGGAGAGTTGTACTTTCTTTCTTCCACCTGGAAGCAGATGTAGGTGTTCTGCACAGGGGCAAGTAGCAGGTTGTGGAAGTTAAGGATGTAGGTGTTGGGAGGTAATGTGTCCATTGGTTTGCTGGAGATGAGAGAGAAAACCGAAGATGCAGAGTGTTCCTAGGGCTTTCTCCCATCTGGTGTCTCCTAAACAGAGGCGCCTGGAGCTTCTGGGTGCTGTGCCTCCTGTCCCCCTTCCACCCAGGACGACCTGCCTCCTCCCAGCCAGGACGACAGGTAGAGGAAGAGGAGGGGTCTGCAGGGACAGCAGGGACCGTGTCCTCTCCTGCAGGACCCCGGTTCTGCTGCTGCCAACGGCACACACCCACCCCTGCCTAAGACTCCTGGCCACTCATCCCTAAACCTCTGGAAAAAAGGATAATAAAACTGCCTTTACCCCCCATAAATAGCCTTTAGTATTGTGGTTCAAATCATGGCTCCATTTCACTTATACAGGCTTATTTTCAAAATAGCAGGCTAACACCTAAAATTTCACTTAGATGAGGCCTGTTCCGATCAGACCCTGGGCCTGCAGCTTTCTGGGCTCCCTGGGACTCGGTCTTCCTTCTGCAACAGGCTCGGGAAGCCCCCTGGGACCCTGAGGTCATCCCCTGCTCGACAAGGAGACAGCACCTTCTAACCACACCTCTGACCACCTTCCCAAGTCAAAGGACTTGAGCAGGAAGAGCTGTCCCCCCAGGGGCGCCGGCCTGACTGACAACACAACCCCTGGACTGCAGCTGCCCCAGAGGCAGGGGCACTCAGGTGGCCCGGGGCCGGGCCTCAGGGCCCCTGAAGGAGGCCCTGGCAGCCGAGTGCCATGGCTCTCTGCTTGTCACACTGCTGCACTTGGTGCCCATTGTGCTCAATTAATGACAGGGTCTGGTTAGTGTGGTGACATGGGAGGGCCCCTTAAGGGATGGGGCTCCCTTCCTTAGGGACCACGAGGCCTTGAGGGCTGACGGGTAAATGGGTGTGGGGGGCACCTTAAGGATCAGAGAGGCAGAGAGGACGGAGCTCAGGTGCAGGAGGTGGGAGGAGAGGGAGAGCGGGAGGAACAGAAAGGGGAGGGGGCTGAGGGAACACTTACCAGACGATTTCATGAAGCTTCTCAACCAAATCATAATAATTTCGACGGATACCCTTCCAATAGCAGAAGGCTATTCCGCCGTTGTCCACAAAGTTGTCCCAACAGTATTCAAAATCTGATGCAAAGAGGGGAGACAGCAGTCAGGTCAGGCCAGGGAGCCTCTCTGTCCTGACCCTGCCCTGGCCTCGCCCCTCAGGGCCTGGTGTCCTCCCTGCAAGACACCATCACTCCTGCCTCAGATTCCCACGTTCCCCTTCCACTCGCTCTCCCTGGGGAATTCTAGGTGCCCCCGAGCCTGGTCCGATCCCCAGGACAGCCCTGCCCCCACGCCCTCTGCTCTCACCCTCGGGAGACATCACAGCCACCTCGATCCCTGCCTGGTCCAGTAGTCGAAGACCCTCCTGCCGGTCCTGGTCATCACACTTGTACAGGCGGGAGGTGGAGATGCTCAGGCTGACGTTCTCGCACTCCCCCAGGAAGCTGACCACCTCCTCTGCACACTCGAAGCAGGGGCTCCAGGACATGTACCAGGTGACACGGTAATCCGCATGAGGAGACAGAAGTGTGTCATAGAACCAAGAGAGGAAACGCTGTTCTGCATGGACTGGTTCCTCTGGGTAGAGGTGATGAAGGTGGGAGGGCTGGTGGGTGGAAGAACAGGAGGGGGTCAGGGGTTGGCTGCAGGCTGGGGGGCGTGCTCTGCCTCTGCTGAGGCTGCGTCCTCCTCCAGGGAGATCTGGGCCCAGCTTCAGAGCAGACTGGGGGCTGGCAGGCGGGGTGGGGGTGGTTTACACCCTGGGGTTCAGAATTGCTGGGTCAGGAGGAGTCAGGGGTGTGGCTGGGGAGGATCCAGCCAGCAGTGCACCCCTAGGGCCCCCTAAGCAGCTGGGGCTCAGCAGGCCCGACTCTCTAAGGTGCCCTTCCCTCTAAGACCGCAGAGGCCCTGGGTGAAGGGCAGCAGATGCTCTAAAAGCGGCCCTGTGGGCCAGGCCAATGGCACAGTGCATCGGGATTCAGGGGGTCAAGTGGGGACATCAAGGCCTAAAACTGAGGACAATGGTGAGGGGAAGAGGCTCTGGCATTTTACATATTATAGTTTTTCCACCTCCTTCCCTTTGGTGACAGTATCATGGCTCCTGTACCTGGTTTCGAAAGACCCCCCAGTAGTAGGCGTTGGGAGAGTTGTACTTTCTTTCTTCCACCTGGAAGCAGATGTAGGTGTTGTTCTGCACAGGGGCAGGTAGCAGGTTGTGGAAGTTAAGGATGTAGGTGTTGGGAAGCAATGTTTCCATTGGTTTGCTGGAGATGAGAGAGAAAACTGAAGATGCAGAGTGTTCCTAGGGCTTTCTCCCATCTGGTTTCTCCTAAACAGAGATGTCTTGACCCCGTGCGTGCTGTACCCCCTTCTTCCACCCAGGACGACCTGCCTCCTCCCAGCCAGGACGACAGGTAGAGGAAGAGGAGGGGTCTGCAGGGACAGCAGGGACCGTGTCCTCTCCTGCAGGACCCCGGTTCTGCTGCTGCCAACGGCACACACCCACCCCTGCCTCAGACTCCTGGCCTTCATCCCCAACCCACTGGAAAAAAGGATAATAAAACCGCCTTTAGCCCCCATAAATAGCCTTTAGTATTGAGGATCAAATCATTGCTGCCTTTCACTTATACAGGCTTATTTTCAAAAGAGCAGGCTAACACCTGAAATTTCACTTAGATGAGGCCTGTATCCCTCAGACTCTGGGGACCACAGCTGGGCTGGGCTCCCAGGGACTCGGTCTTCCTTCTGCCACAGGCTCGGGAAGCCCCCTGGGACCCTGAGGTCATCCAGTGCTTGACAAGGAGACAGCACCTTCTAACCACACTTCTGACCGCCTTTCCAAGTCAAAGGACTTGAGCAGGAAGAGCTGTCACCCCGGGGGCGCCGGCCTGACTGACAACACAACCCCTGGACTGCAGCTGCCCCAGAGGCAGGGGCACTCAGGTGGCCCGGGGCCGGGCCTCAGAGCCCCTGAAGGAGGCCCTGGCAGCCGAGTGCCGTGGCTCTCTGCTTGTCACACTGCTGCACTTGGTGCCCATTGTGTGCAGTTAATGACAGGGTTTGGTTAGTGTGGTGACATGGGAGGGCCCCTTAAGGAGTGGGGCTCCCTTGCTTGGGGAGAGGGAGGCCTTGTGGGCTGACGGGTAAATGGGTGTGTGGGGCACCTTAGGGATCAGGGAGGCTGAGAGGACAGAGCTCAGGTGCAGGAGGTGGGAGGGAGGGGGAGCAGGACGGAACAGAAGGGGGAGGGGGCTGAAGGAACACTTACCAGAGGATTGCTTTAAGCTTGTAATCCAGAGCATAATAATTTCGACGGATACCCTTCCAATACCAGAAGGACATTCCGCCGTTGTCCACAAAGTTGTCCCAACAGTATTCAAAATCTGATGCAAAGAGGGGAGACAGCAGTCAGGTCAGGCCAGGGAGCCTCTCTGTCCTGACCCTGCCCTGGCCTCGCCCCTCAGGGCCTGGTGTCCTCCCTGCAAGACGCCATCACTCCTGCCTGTGATTCCCACGTTCCCCTTCCACTCGCTCTCCCTGGGGAATTCTAGGTGCCCCCGAGCTTGGTCCGATACCCGGGACAGCCCTGCCCCGGATCCCTCTGCTCTCACCCTCGGGAGACATCACTGCAAGCTCAGCTCCTGCGCCGGCCAGACTACGAAGCCCCTGCCGGTATTCCTGCTTATTGCCGTAGTAGAGGCGTGAGAAAGTCATGCGCAGCCGCACATGCTTGTGCGTGTGCAGGAACTCGGCCACCTGCTTTGCACACTCCACACAGGGGCTCCAGGACATGTACCAGGTGATGTCGTATTGTTCCCCAGGGCCCGGGGTCTTCTCCAAGGGTGACTCCTTGAACCAGTTCAGGAAGCAGATTTCTGCATGGACTCTTGTCTTTGGATAGAACTGGCAGAGAGGGACAAGGGAAGGGGACACGCTTGGCTGTCAGAGCAGGCTGTGGCAGGCCTGAGGGGCTGGGGACCAGGGCACAGGAAGCAACCATCTCAGGGGCAGGCTGTGGATCCGTTTGTGCTTTCTCAGCCCCTCCCCCCCCCTCTGTGCTCATTTGGCCTCCACTCCCGCACTCATCCATGAACTCCAACACCCATTCTCCCCGCCCTTCCTCCTACAGGCGTCCTGAGCGCCTGCCCCTGGCTGGCCCTCTGGTTCCCCGGGTGCCGTCCGCTGGGGACGGCCGGGGAGCTGCTTTGTCCACAGGCGGTCCATAGCCACACGCGTCTACCATGTCGTGACCTGTGGCTCACCCAGATTGAGACGTGGGGCAACTGTGTAACACACACCTCCTGTCAATGACTTAGTGTGAAGAAATAGAGTAACCTCTCTCCGAGGAACTTTTGTGTTGACTGTGTGTTGAAATAATGCCTGAGCGCTATTACAGAGACACGCCAGCATGACATTCATCAGTTTCTCATAAAGTCAGAACGCTGGGCACAGGAAATGGTTAAATGCACGAGTGATCTCGTTGCCCGTCCACAGGGTGGTCCCACTGCAGTGACAGCTGTCATCCCATAATGATTCCTCCCCACAATGGGCTCTGAGTGGTCTGTAGCCTGGTGGAGGTGGGAGGGCTGGTGGGTGGAGGGACAGGGCACAGGGGGTCAGGGGTTGGCTGCAGGCTGGGGGGCGGGGTGTGCTGAGGCTGAGGCTGAGTCCTCATCCAGGGAGACCTGGGCCCAGCCTCAGAGCAGGCAGGGGGCCGGCAGGGAGTGGGGGTGGGTTCTGCCCTGGGGGTCACACCTGCTGGGTCTGGAGGAGTCAGGGGTGTGGTTGTGGGAGGACCCAGCCAGCAGAGCACCCCCTGAAGCCCCCTAGCAGCTGGGGCTCAGCAGGCCCCACTCTCTAAGGTGCCCTTCCCTCTAAGACCGCAGAGGCCCTGGGTGAGGGGCAGACTGACGGGCAGCAGATGCTCTAAAAGCAGCCCCGTGGGGCAGGCCAATGGCACAGTGCATCGGGATTCAGGGGGTCAGGTGGGGACATGAAGGCCTAAAACTGAGGACAATGGTGAGGTGAGGAGGCTCTGGCATTTTACTTGTTTACTTTCCACATGGGTGCCTTAGATGACCGAATTGTGGGTCCTGTACCTGGTTTACAAAGACTCCTCTGGCCAAAGGGACAGTTGAATGGTTTCCTTGCACTTCGTAGCAGATGTAGCAGCCATTTCGACCTTTGGGGGTGGGCTCGTTTGAGAAGTGAAAGTTGAAATAGTTCACATACAACTTCTGAATTGGGTTACTGGGGACGAGAGAGACGACAGAAAACACTCAGTGTCCCCTGTGCTTTCTGCCATCCACTTTCTCCTGAGAGGGACCCAGGACCCCTGGGTGCTATGCACACCCTCCCCCTTCCACCCAGGATGCCCTGCCTCCCACCAGCCAGGACCACAGGCAGAGGAAGAGGTGGGATCTGCAGGGACAGCCAAGACCGTGTCCTCTCCTGCAGGACCCCGGTTCTGCTGCTGCCAACAGCACACACCCACCCCTGCCTCAGACTCCTGGCCACTCATTCCCAACCCACTGGAAAAAAGGATAATAAAACCGCCTTTACTCCCCCAAAATAGCCTTTAGTATTGAGGTTCAAGTCATGACTGCCTTTCACTTGTACAGGCTTATTTTCAAAAGGGCAGGCTAACACCTGAAATTTCACTTAGATGAGGCCTGTTCCCATCAGACCTGGGCCCGCAGCTGGGCTGGGCTCCCTGGGACACAGTCTTCCTTCTGCAAGAGGCTCGGGAAGTCCCCTCGCACCCTGAGGTCACCCCCTGCTCGACAAGGAGACAGCACCTTCTAACCACACCTCTGACCACCTTCCCAAGTCTAAGGACTTGAGCAGGAAGAGCTGTCACCCCGGGGGCGCCGGCCTGACTGACAACACAACCTCTGGACTGCAGCTGCCCCAGAGGCAGGGGCACTCAGGTGGCCCGGGGCCGGGCCTCAGAGCCCCTGAAGGAGGCCTGGCAGTCGAGTGCTGTGGCTCTCTGCTTGTCACACTGCTGCACTTGGTGCCCATTGTGCTCAGTTAATGACAGGGTTTGGTTGGTGTGGTGACATGGAAGGGCCCCATTAAGGGGTGGGGCTCCCTTCCTTGGGGAGAGGGAGGCCTTGAGGGCTGACGGGTAAATGGGTGTGTGGGGTCCCTGAAGGAGCAGAGAGGCAGACAGGACAGAGCTCAGGTGCAGGTGGTGGGAGGGGAGAGGGAGTGGGAGGGAGCGGGAGGGGCAGGTGGCAGAGGGAACACTTACTAGACAAATTCATGAAGTTTCTCATCTTGAGCATAATAATTTCGACGGATACCCTTCCAATACCTGAAGGACATTCCTCCGTTGTCCACAAAGTTGTCCCAACAGTATTCAAATACTGATGCAAAGAGGGGAGACAGCAGTCAGGTCAGGCCAGGGAGCCTCTCTGTCCTGACCCTGCCCTGGCCTCGCCCCTCAGGGCCTGGTGTCCTCCCTGCAAGACGCCATCACTCCTGCCTCAGTTTCCCACGTTCCCCTTCCACTCGCTCTCCCTGGGGAATTCTAGGTGCCCCCGAGCCTGGTCCGATCCCTGGGACAGCCCTGCCCCATAACCCTCTGCTCTCACCCTCTGGAGACATTACGGCCACCTCGGCCCCTGCGCCAGCCAGACTACGAAGCCCCTGCCGGTATTCCTGCTTATTGCCGTAGTAGAGGCGTGAGAAAGTCATGCGCAGCCGCACATGCTTGTGCGTGTTCAGGAACTCGGCCACCTGCTTTGCACACTCCACACAGGGGCTCCAGGACATATACCAGGTGATGTCGTATTGTTCCCCAGGGCCCAGGGTCTTCTCCAGGGTGACTCCTTGAACCAGTTCAGGAAGCAGATTTCTGCGTGGACTCTTGTCTTTGGATAGAACTGGCAGAGAGGGACAAGGGAAGGGGACACGCTTGGCTGTCAGAACAGGCTGTGGCAGGCCCGAGGGGCTGGGGACCAGGGCACAGGGAGCAGCGGTCTCAGGGGCAGGCTGTGGACCCGTTTGTGCTTTCTAAGCCCCTCCCTCCCCCTCTGTGCTCATTTGGCCTCCCCTCCCCCACTCATCCATGAACTCCAACACCCATTCTCCCCGCCCTTCCTCCTACAGGCGTCCCGAGCGCCTGCCCCTGGCCGGGCCTCTGGTTCCCCGGGTGCCGTCCGCTGGGGACGGCCGGGGAGCTGCCTTGTCCACAGGGGAGTCCATAGCCACACGCGTCTACCATGTCGTGACCTGTGGCTCACCCAGATTGATACGTGCGGCCACTGTGTAACACGCACCTCCTGTCAATGATTTAGTGTGAAGATAGAGTAAATTCTCTTGGAGGTACTTTTGTGTTGACTGTGTGTTGAAATAACCCCTGAGCACTATTACAGAGACACACCAGCATGACATTCATCAGTTCCTCATAAAGTCTGAACGCTGGGCACAGGAAAAGGTTAAATGCATCAGTGACCTCGTTGCCTGTCCACTGGGGGTTCCCCCTGCAGTGACAGCTGCCATCCCATAATGATTCCTCCCCACAATGGGCTCTGAGTGGTCTGCAGCCTGGTGGAGGTGGGAGGGCTGGTGGGTGGAGGGACAGGGCACAGGGGGTCAGGGGTTGGCTGCAGGCTGGGGGGCAGGGTCTGCCTCTGCTGGGGCTGCGTCCTCCTCCAGGGAGACCTGGGCCCAGCCTCAGAGGAGGCAGGGGGCCAGCAGGTGGGGGTGGGTTCTGCCCTGGGGGTCACACCTGCTGGGTCTGGAGGAGTCAAGGGTGTGGCTGAGGAGGACCCAGCCAGCAGCGCCCCCCCTGGGGCCCCCTAAGCAGCTGGGACTCAGCAGGCCCCACTCTCTTTGGTGCCCTTCCCTCCAAGACTGCAGAGGCCCTGGGTGAGGGGCAGACTGATGGGCAGCAGATGCTCTAAAAGGGCCCCGTGGGCCAGGCCAATGGCACAGTGCATCGGGATTCAGGAGGTCAGGTGGGGACATGAAGGCCTAAAACTGAGGACAATGGTGAGGGGAGGAGGCTCTGGCATTTTACTTGTTTACTTTCCACATGGGTGCCTTAGATGACCGAATTGTGGGTCCTGTACCTGGTTTTCAAAGACCCCTCTGGCCAAGGGGATAGTTGAGTGGTTTCCCGGCACTTCATAGCAGATGTAGCAGCCATTTCGACCTTTCGGGGTGAGCTCGTTTGTGAAGTGAAAGTCGAAATAGTCTGCATATAATTTCTGCATCGGGTTCCTGGGGACGAGAGAGACGACAGAAAACACACAGTGTCCCCTGGGCTTTCTGTCATCCGGTTTCTCCTGAACAGGGGCCCAGGACCCCCTGGATTGGTGCCCTCCCTGCTTCTACCCAGGATGTCCTGCCTCCTCCCAGCCAGGACCACAGGTAGAGGAAGAGGAGGGTCTTCAGGGACAGCAGGGACCGTGTCCTCTCCTGCAGTTCCCCGGTTGTGCTGCTGCCAACAACACACACCCACCCCTGCCTCAGACTCCTGGCCACTCATGCCCAACCGACTGGGGAAAAAGAATAATAAAACTGCCTCCATCCTCCCAAAATAGCCATTAATATTGAGGTTCATATCACCCCTCACTTTTCACTTATACAGGCTTATTTTTTAAAATATTAGGCTAACACCTGAAATTTCAGGCTCACACTACTGTTCTAAGAGTTCCATGTATGTGAACTCCAGTCCTCCCCAAGTCTAGGGGCGTCACCCCGTTGTACAGAGACAAAAACAGGGCAAGACAAGTAGTGGCTGGTGGAGTGCAGGGCAGGGGAGTGACAGAGCAGGTCCCCTGCCCGGGCAGAGCCCTGTCCAGCACCAGCAGGACGGGAAGGGCAGTGTGTGCCCTGGGGGGTGAGGTGCCTTTTGCTACCCAGTTGTGCATGGAGAGCCTTTCTCCTGACCGTGGGCAGCCCTGTTCTCCACTCTAGCTGCTGGTCGCTACGCTTACACACGCCAAGGACGTGGCCGTGTCTGGGAGCAGAGTGGCTCACTCTTGTGCTCACAGTGGGGCCGTCTGGGGGAGCTCAGGGACCTCCTGGCCCAGGGAGCTGCTGTCACAGGGTGCGTGCGGTGGGTCAACAGCACAGAAAATGGATGGAAGTGCTTCCACCTACACTGACCCACTGTCGCCCGTCCCTTAGTTTCATTGTAGTTGACAAGAGTGAGCAGAAAAGGCTGTAGCTGGGACAGTCCCCACAGGCAGGCAGGGGACAGCCCAGCCCTACAGACAGGCAGCCTGAGAGGAGGACCAGGAGGACACAGCCAGGGGGCATTGTGGGAGGAACCATTCAGCAGCAGGAGTGGTGGCATTCCCAGAGCAGGACACAGACCCCCGATGCAGAGGGAGCTGAGGGAAGGAGCCCAGAGGGAGGAGAAGCCAGGCTGGTGGTCGGGTGGACGAGGCTGAGCACAGACCCCGCAGGGCCCACCGTGTAGGAAGGGGCCACAGGGGGACAGAGTGGGCAGCGGTACCTGGGCCAGGGCTCCATGATGTCGACCTCCTGCTGGGCTGTTTCTCTGCTGGTATCTGCCCCCAGCGCTGGCTCTGCCTTTCTGCTCAGAGGGCTCCTGCTTCAGGAAAGTCCCTTGTCTGAGGTCTTCCGCCCTCTCAGCTGAGGCCCCACCTCCCCCTGCATGGGCTGCAGGGTGGGGGGGCCCTGGGCTGGGGGCCTCCTGTGGTTCTGACCCACCTTCCCCGCCTCCTGTGCCCTGCCTCCTGGCACAGCTCCTCCCCTGCTGGGCACAGGCCCCTCTGGACAGGAGGACCAACAAAGGGAAAGGGAAAGTGAGGATGACAAATAGGGGGTAGGACAGGCCCTGCTGGAGGGAGCAGGACAGAGGTCCTACTCCCCTGGGAGGGGCCTCCTGGAGCCCCTTCCACAACCCACCCCCAGCCCCAGTCCACACCCAGTTTTCACCCCTCGAAGCCTGTTGAAGGGTGCAGGTGAAGAGAAGGCTGGACCTGGGTCAGGGACGGATGTGCCTGGAGTTCCTGGTTCTGGGTGAGGCATCTGGGAAGTCCCCTCGGCCTTCCCGTGGGGGGAGAGAGGGCTGCTGCCCCAGTCCCTCTGCTCATCAGGGTTTCACACGTTCGGGAGGGGGGGCCCTCCATGAGTCACAGGGCAGATGCTGTGATTCCGCAGGGGGCCAGGCTCTCAGCTTATGCTCTTTCCATATGAAGGCGCTTTAATTTTTTTAAATGGTTTTCTTTTTTTGTGGATTGATTTTTGAGAGAGAGAAAAAGACAGAGAGAGCAGGGATAAGAAAGCACACATTAGGTGACCCACTCCCTGGTATCACACTCCCTGGTATCTTCCTGGGGGGCCCTGACTGGGTCAACCCTGCTTATTGATGCTAGTATGGTTAGAGAGTTTTACGTATAGATCATGCACTCTCTGAGTCATGTGTCAGGAAGGTACTTTGTGGTCAGGCCCCAGGAGACGTGGCCACGCCCACCCTGAGGTGGGGTTCTGGGCGCTGAGCACAAGACGGGACTCCACCCGGCGCTTCCTTCACCCAGCTGAGTCGGTGGACAACAAAATGCGTTCTAGAGGACCTTAATGTTCATTAAAGGAAGCGACACAAAGAAGGTTCCAATATTGTTTCATCGTTGCCGTCACACACACATTTATTGCTTCAGCGCACTGCGGGAAAAGGAAACAGAACAGAGGCCCATGCGGTCACAGTCAGGAATGGCAGAACCCCCGGTCCCGGCGGACAGAGCACTAAATAGAACTGCTGAGATCAGCGGTGATGTCAGGCCTCTGGCTCCATTTCCCTGCAGGCGCCGCGGCTCTGTCCTCCTGTGTGGGCTTCGTTCCACTCCAGCTCCTTCCCCTGAGGTGCAGAAATGGTTACAGCAGGCCCAGGCCCCAGGGTTCTCCCCGTCTTCTCCCCCAACCATCCAGAGAACCGAGAGCTGCGGTGTCCAAGATTTCCCGGCAAAACTCCCGGGATACATGCTGATTGGACGAGCTTGGTCACATGGCACATCTGAGCCAATCACAGAGTGGCTGGGGTAGAACCCATGGATCCGCCCACTCCTACCTTACTGGCACAAGGTCTGCCCAGCAGGAACAGGAAGGCTAGACAGAAGGTAGATCTCACTGACATCAAACTATTCGTAACATGTAGAATAGCACCTTCTAATTTTAAATCATTGATGAACTCAGCCTTTTTTGGGGGGGGGTACAAATTGGTGATCTGTGTTGTGAAAACTCTGAGGAATTGTGCTTAGAGGATGCTTAAAGATCTTATACCTAATGAGTATTCTTTGCAAATCCATGTGCTTCTAGTTGCAAATGCTCACGCAGTTATTACAAATTCACACCCCTAACAAAACTCTCCTTCACCGGTCCCCCCAGAGGGAATGGATCAGCCAGTGGCATGGAGAGAGCTGGAGTATAGGGCCAGACGATCCTGAACTCTGTGCTGACCAGGCACCAGCCCCACCCCCATATTAGTGTCCCTTGCGGACGGACCTCCCCAGGGCAGCGCCTCTGTGTGCCTCATCCTCTCTCTTTCTGCTTCTGCTTCTTTAGTTCTTCCTTCCATTTCCCCCTCAATCTGGTTTTTCTGTTTATACAAGGACTGTCATGCCTGCCCCAAAATGGGCCCCTCACCCCAGGTCTCCCTGACCTTCCATGTCCACCAGCTAAAGCTAACTGAGAAAACCACAGCATCTGAACTCAACAAAATGAACCTGCACCTTGGCTTGGGCTTCAAAGAAGTAATTTCAAAATCCAGAAGAGATGATCTGATTGGTGCATCTTGCATCAGGTTCCACGCCTGGACCAGTTAGCTGTGGAAGCCTGAGGGCCCACCAGTGTGGGAGAGGAGAGAAGGTGGCAGCAAAGGAGACACTGACTCAATACGTCACTCAAGGTGGGTCTACAAATCCTTTGGAACATTGTGACACCTGCTATAAGAGTACCATGCAGGGTCAGTTTATAAAAGCAACACAGCCTATGCAGCCCAGTGAGTGGAAGGCAGCACTGAAGCAGACCAACTGGCAGCAGAATAAGCCCCTGGCAGACAGAAAAACTTTATTTCCCGGTGTCAGGAGGAGAGAGCTGGCCTGCCCCAGACCCAGAGCTGCCTGCACATCTGGATCTCACTGGAGTCTGTTTGGCTGCCGAGCAGATTCATCCAGGAGTTAGAGAAAAAGACATGGCGGTAGCTCAGACCACGCCTCATGCCTCATCACCTGGGCTGTATCTGGCCCCCTGCCAGAGCTGTTGTGCCTATATTGGGGACCCTAATGACTTCTCTGTCATTGGAAGTTACTCGTTGCTTTGCTCTCCAAAGCTGGAATGTGTATGAGCCACTGGGGTAGCAGAGAGACATGAGTCCTGCTGAGGATTGGACCCATCTTCCTCCTCTCTCAAACCAGAGACCTAAGTCCTTGGCTCCAATCACTGATTGGCAGGAGATTCCATCCCTAATCAGCTTCTCCTTCTCTCCAACCTTTGAACATGTCTCCCGACCATGAGCAACATGCTTGTGTGGACTGCAAGACCATTTGGCCCTTATTGGACTGTGAATCTCTGCCACATAAGAAGAAATTAGTCAGAGGTGGTGGGGAAATATGGCCTTTGGGGGTCCTCAGGAGCTGAGTCTGAGCCCTAGACTCACCACATAAGAGCAGTGGGATCCCACTCAGGGGGCTTGCCTCTATGCACCTGGTGGTTGACTGGGAAATTTGTGATAACTCTCCCACAAAAAGTAAATTTGAAAACCTAGAATCAAATGGCTGACATAGTTGAATCTCTGATGTTTGCCCCTTTGCCTTCCTTCATGGCAGAGATGAAAGCAAACTTTATTCCAAGTACTGAATTCAGGCTCTTTCTCTCACACCCAACGTGTTACCAAGTCAACCAGCACTTATTACAGCTACTGTATACACTGGCAAGGAATTCAGAGTCCTGTATCTCCATGCTCATCTATAAACTTACTCTCAGTGGAAAATGGTGGGATCATGAGCTTCCCAACTTCCCAGAGGACTAGGTGACTGTACAACTTTGTAAAAAATGACAAGAAGAAAAGGTCCTGTTTTGTTCTCTTGGAAGTGTCTCAGCAGCAGGGTTTTCCAAAGAACTCAGTATGTCTTCCCCTCTTCTCTCTGACTCTCATCTCCTGGCTCACTTTGTTCCCAGGTCCTGGGAGGGGATCCACAGGAGTCACCAAAGCCCCACGTGGAAAATGGAGTAGCACTGGAGATGGGCAGCCAAGGTTCAGCACCACGGACAGCACCAGTCGGCCCTGTCTGGTCCTCCTGGCCCTGGCAGGTGAGACCTTTGGATACTAGCCCTTGGCCTTACTGCCCTTGTACACGAGTGCTGCGTCTGAGGGAAGAGCCTCCCTGCCTCTCATTGGCTTGCTTCCTGCTGCTTGACTAACTGGACCACAGCTCCTGCTCTGACCTGTTAGGACCCTCCCCTCAGGGCTGCAATCCAACAATTCCCCAGGAACTCTTTCCATTTGGACCCGTGCTTGACAAAGGGGACATTCAATGGTCTATTTCTGGGGCAAGCAGATACAAAGGGGCTGGGCATTTGTGAATTTTCAGGAGATCAAGTTTTAAGCCAAGTCACAGTGCTTTTCTACTTTAAGCTGCCTACTCAAGTCAATGGCAAGTGTGCCCAGCAAGGGTAGAAAAGAGCTGAGCCCAGAGTATGGCTGACCCTTTCTTGCTGGCCTACCTGTGGCACCTGGAAGGGTTGACCCCTCCATCTGCAAGACTCCACTCTTAGTGTGATGCCTCTCATAGGGAAACTCCTTGACTGACTGCCCTTCCTCTCCTACCCCCTCACTGAAGGCCTTGACAACAAATCTGGACCACTCTGCTTGCTCTGTTCCTCTGTCTTCCTTTCCTTCTGTCTCAAGTCTCAGGATTCAGCTCCTTGTCTTTGCCTCCAAACTCTGTTCCACCTATCTGAAACCTCAGACTTCAGTTCCTTAGGCTAGCAATGTGGAATCACCTTTGATTTTTCTCTCCCACTTTCCCTATGAAAATCACTAATGAAACTTCTTATCGTGGTATTAGAACATCTCTAAATCAGTTAGTCATCCAATATTTTCTTAACTAAAATATATGTAGAGTGAAGAACAGGGTTTTATTTTTGCATGTAACTACAACTGCCATATCATTATGTATAGTTATATTTCACCCATTTCTTTTTTGTCCGTATTTTTGTTTTCATTTTGTCTACTAAAGCATAAGTAAAGACAAAACATACAAGCAAACACACCCCACCTACTTATATTGTTTTCTTTAAATGTTCTTCCCAAGCATTAAGTGAGTTTTTTTTTCAGTTCTCTTTTGTCTTTTCACCCATCCCCACACCCTCCCCTCTGACAACTGTCAGTTTGTTCTCTGGGGAGAGACCACAAAGCTTGTTGACCAGAGGCCATGCCAACCTCACTCTGATGAGTAATCAGATGGTCGCAGCCCAAGGTAACAGCAGAACAGGAACCACACAAGCTACCACTGTGAAACCTGGCAAATGAAAAGGGCGGGTGATGGGGGGTGAGGCAAAGACAGGAAACAAAACCAGAGTTTCCTCTCAACATGAGTCTGCAAGCCCAAATTTCTGAAACCTACAAAGAAATCTAATTTGAGAAAGGAAGTTGATGCACACTCCCACCAGCTGTGTCTGTGGTGTTGTGGATGCGATGAACAAATTCACATGGACTGTAGAAGTCCTGTGGAGAAAAGGGGATAGCAAGGCCACTCTCTGAGTGACAGATCCCTCTGACCCTTGCCAGGACAATCTTTTATTGCTTTTCTGGGAGCATTCCCTCAAGGAAGGTCTTCATTCATCCTTCTCAGGCACTAATGATTAAACAACTGGTAACATCCAGAGAACTATGGGGGCTTCTTCTGAGTCAGGGTCACTTAGCAAAAAGGCCATAAATCTTAGGGAAACAAACTCATTTCATGTTTGGACCTTTATCAGAAAATTGAGGACAATCTTAGCAAAGCAGGTTTCACAGGATTTTAGGCATTGTTTCTTAGGCCCGATGGGGGAACTACCCATTCCTGCTCAGGGTGCACCACCCTCCAGCATTGTTTCAGGCTTAAGTCAGGTGGGGGGTGTAAGGCAGCCAAGAGATTAGGAGACTTCTTGCAGACAGAATGAGGACTCAGGCTATGTCAAAGCTGAAAGGTTATGGTCCATTGCCCCCTTCTCCTATAGCCACCCAAGTCCTTCCCTGAGGGCCCCTTTGTGACTGTGCCTGTCTTAGGTTGTCCCTCCTTTGAGGAATCTGACTCATCATTGGCTCACCAGTCATTTGTCCTGGGCCAAGCAGGGCAAAATAAAGTGGGGCAGAGTTGGTCCTTCTACAAGGAAGTAAGCTTTGTCTCCTTAGTGACTTATGGTCCCAAGGTCTGTAAGTCAGCCTTAGCCATGGGGTGTTAAAGCTTCTGAAACCAGGCAGGGCATTCCCAACAGGAAATCAAGAGATTCAACACATGAAGCCACTCCAGATTAAATAATCTGACAGAACAATGTGACAGTGACTTGAAGCAGCTCATTGGAAGTCGTCACAGATCTGAACACCTGCACTGACTCCAGGAAGACAGCCTTCCTCCTGGGATTCCTCAGAGGTGGGGTGACAGACAGAGCCCACCCTGAACCTCTGGCACAGGGTGTGAGCTGCTGCCTTTCTCCACCTGCTGGATCCCTGCCCCTGACCGTGTTTCAGGTGTCAGACCTGCGTCCCAACTGGCTGGTCGGGGAACATAACAGAGGAATCCCTGCAGCCAGAAGGAGAAAGATCAAGGTGAATGATTAGAACACATGCCTACTTCCTCCCGGCAGCCTGCCCAGAATCCCAGCATATTGAGGCAGCAGATAGTCAGAAATGAGGAAACTCTGGAGGTGCCCCAGGGCTAAGATGAAGGACATCAATGCAGGACAGAGACAGTGTTCTAAGCCCCATTGTTCTCTCTTTCCAGAAAAGTGCTGAATCATGGTGACTCATGAATGCACCTGTGTAGATGTTGCATGACCCTGCGTCATTATAATAGCGTTATAACAAATAAACGCTGTGTGACCCCCTTCTCCAGTGGCCAATCAAGGAAATTCATGGGAGACCAAATTCGAAGTAGCTTTAAAGTAATACAACTCCTTGTACATGCCCAGCAAAAGCCCGCCAAAACTACCCAGGAAATATCTGCCCTATAAGAATGGAGCTCGGACTTCTGGCCAAGATGGAGGCATAGGTAGACACACTGTGCCTCCTTGCACAACCAAAATAAGGTCAGCAATAATTTAGAAACAAGATAACAACTAGATCTGACCGAAGATTGAACTGTATGGAAGTCATACAACCAAGGAGTTAAAATAGACACATTCATTCAGACTGGTAGGAGGGGCAGAGTCGGGCAGCTGGATGGAGAGGGGTTGGTACAAAAAGTGGTGGCACCGGACGCATAATAGATCCTGGGTGCGTAAGGCACCCAGGCACTCCCAAGCACACAGGCAGCTGGAAGACCCAGAGAGGCAGTAACTGTGAAGGGAGACACTGGACGCAAGGTTCCTGGCTGTACATGACACATTCTCGCGCAGATAAAGGAGGTGAAATTGGGCCGTGAGACAGACCTTGGGAAATAGAACCTTGGGACACTGATAACACCTGTGGATGTTGAGGCACAGGGAGAGACTACCAGCCTCACAGGAGAGTGTGCTGGAGAGACCCAGAGGGTCCTAGAATGTGCACAAGCCCACCCACACTGGGATTAGTATCAGAAAGGCCCTGTTAGCTTGAGGGAAGTGGTGGAAGGGACTGAAATCCGACAGAGAGAGTAACAAGAGCAATTGTTCCCTCTCTGACGCTGCCCTGCCAACACCTCCACCTTGGACGTCCAGCCTCCAGACTGTGGGGGGCAAAACTCCAGTTGAGCCACCCAGGCTGGGCAGCAGTGACGGAACCACCTCCCAAAAAGCAGGTGTGTGTGCCCCCCGTGCGAGGAGCCAGAACACCGAGACACCGGAGCTGCGGTCACTGAGGCTTTATTGGATTCGGCCGAAGGGAGAGAAGAGGAGGGCCAGACCTCTCCCAGTTCTCTTCTCCGACAACCGGAAATTCAGCCTTTTTATGCCGCTGGGAGAGGGGGAGGGCGGCTTCGGAGACCTGGAGAGAAGCCTGTGTTCCCTCCAGCTCAGACCAGGCCTCTTCCCATCAGACCTGGGGCCGCAGCTGGGCTGGGCAGGGACACGGTCTTCCTTCTGCAACAGGCTCGGGAAGCCCCCTGGGACCCTGAGGTCATCCCCTGCTTGACAGGGAGACAGCACCTTCTAACCACACTTCTGACCACCTTCCCAAGTCTAAGGACTTGAGCAGGAAGAGCTGTCACCCCGGGGGCGCCGGCCTGACTGACAACACAACCCCTGGACTGCAGCTGCCCCAGAGGCAGGGGCACTCAGGTGGCCCGGGGCCGGGCCTCAGGGCCCCTGAAGGAGGCCTGGCAGTCGAGTGCCGTGGCTCTCTGCTTGTCACACTGCTGCACTTGGTGCCCATTGTGTGCAGTTAATGACAGGGTTTGGTTAGTGTGGTGACATGGGAGGGCCCAGTTAAGGGGTGGGACTCCATCCTTTTGGGGACAGGGAGGCCGGGAGGGGTAAAGGGCAAATGGGTGTGGGGGGCACCTTAGGGATCAGAGAGGCAGAGAGAACAGAGCTCAGGTGCAGGTGGTGGAGGGAGGGGGAGCGGGAGGAACAGAAGGGGGAGGGGCTGAGGGAACACACCAGACGATTTCATGAAGCTTCTCAACCAAATCATAATAATTTCGATGGATACCCTTCCAATACCTGAAGGACATTCCGCCGTTGTCCACAAAGTTGTCCCAACAGTATTCAAAATCTGAGGCAAAAAGGGGAGACAGCAGTCAGGTCAGGCCAGGGAGCCTCTCTGTCCTGACCCTGCCCCGGCCTCGCCCCTCAGGGCCTGGTCTCCTCCCTGTAAGACGCCATCACTCCTGCCTCAGATTCCCACGTTCCCCTTCCACTCGCTCTCCCTGGGGAATTCTAGGTGCCCCCGAGCCTCGTCCGATCCCTGGGACAGCCCTGCCCCCACGCCCTCTGCTCTCACCCTCGGGAGACATCATGGCCACCTGGACCCCCTCCTGGTCCAGCAGTCTAAGCCCCTCCTGCCGGTCCTGGTCATCACGCTTGTATAGGCGGGAGGCGGAGATGCTCAGGCTGACGTTCTCGTGCTCCCCCAGGAAGCTGACCACCTCCTCTGCACACTCCAAGCAGGGGCTCCAGGACACGTACCAGGCGACACGGTAGTGCGCATGAGGGGACCGATACTTGTCATTGAACCAAGAGAGGAAACGCTGTTCTGCGTGGAGAGGCTCCGCCAGATAGATGTGTTGAAGGTGGGAGGGCTGGTGGGTGGAGGGACAGGGCACAAGGGGGTCAGGGGTTGGCTGCAGGCTGGGGGGCGTGCTGTGCCTCTGCTGAGGCTGCGTCCTCCTCCAGGGAGACCTGGGCCCAGCCTCAGAGCAGGCAGGGGGCTGGCAGGGGGCAGGGGTGGGTTCTGCCCTGGGGGTCACACCTGCTGGGTCTGGAGGAGTCAAGGGTATGGCTGGGGAGGACCCAGCCAGCAGAGCACCTCCTGGGGCCCCCTAAGCAGCTGGGGCTCAGCAGGCCTGACTCTCTAAGGTGCCCTTCCCTCCAAGACCGCAGAGGCCCTGGGTGAGGGGCAGACTGACGGGCAGCAGATGCTCTAAAAGCAGCCCCGTGGGGCAGGCCAATGGCACAGTGCATCGGGATTCAGGGGGTCAAGTGGGGACATAAAGGCCTAAAACTGAGGACAATGGTGTAGGGAGGAGGCTCTGGCATTTTACTTGTTTACTTTCCACATGGGTGCCTTAGATGACCGAATTGTGGGTCCTGTACCTGGTTTTCAAAGACCCCTCTGGCCAAGGGGATAGTTCAGTGGTTTCCTCACACTTCGTAGCAGATGCAGCAGCCATTTCGACCTTTCGGGGCAAGCTCGTTTGTGAAGTGAAAGTCGAAATAGTCTGTATATAACTTCTGCATCGGGTTCCTGGGGACGTGAGAGACGACAGAAATCACACAGTGTCCCCTGGGCTTTCTGCCATCCGGTTTCTCCTGAGAGGGGCCCATGACCCCTGGGTGTGGAGCCCCCCTCCCCCTTCCACCCAGGATGTCCTGCCTCCTCCCAGCCAGGACCACAGGCAGAGGAAGAGGAGGGGCCTGCAGGGACAGCAGGGACCGTGTCCTCTCCTGCAGGACGCCGGTTCTGCTGCTGCCAACAGCACACATCTACCCCTGCCTCAGACTCCTGGCCACTCATCCCCAACCCACTGGGACAAAAGAATAATAAAACCTCCTCCACCCCCCAAAAATAGCCTCTAATATTGAGGTTCAAGTCACACCTCACTTTTCACTTATACAGGCTTATTTTTTAAAATACCAGGCTAACACCTGAAATTTCAGGCTCACACTACTGTTCTAAGAGCTCCATGTATGTGAACTCCTGTCCTCCCCAAATCTAGGGGTGTCACCCCATTGTACAGAGAAGGAAGCAGGGCACAACAAGTAGTGGCTGGTGGAGTGCAGGGCAGGGGAGTGACAGAGCAGGCCCCCTGCCCGGGCAGAGCCCTGTCCAGCTCCAGCAGGACGGAAAGGGCAGTGTGTGCCCTGGGGGGTGTGAACCGCCCATTGCTACCCAGATGTGCTCGGAGAACCTTTCTCCTGACCGTGGGCGGCCCTGTTCTCCGCTCCCGATGCTGGTTGCTACGCTTACACATGCTAAGGATGTGGCCGTGTCTGGGAACAGAGTGGCTCACACCTGTGCTCACAGTTGGGCTGTCCAGGGGAGCTCAGGAACCTTCTGGCCCTGGGAGCTGCTGTCACAGGGTGTGTGTGGTGGAGCCATTCAGCAGCAGGAGTGGGGGCATCCCCAGATCAGGGCACAGACCCCTGATGCAGAGGGAGCTGAGGGAAGAAGCCCAGGGGGAGGAGAAGCCAGGCTGGCGTTGGGGTGCATGAGGCTGAGGACAGGCCCCGCAGGGACCACCATGTAGGAAGGGGCCACAGGGGGACAGAGTGGGCAGCGGTACCTGGGCCAAGGCTCCATGACGTCATCTTCCTGCTGGGCTGTTTCTCTGCTGGTATCTGCCCCCAGCGCTGGCTCTGCCTTTCTGCTCAGAGGGCTCCTGCTTCAGGAAAGTTCCTCGTCTGCGATCTCCCAGCCTTGTCAGCTGAGGCCCCACCTCCCCCTGCATGGGCTGCAGGGTGGGAGGGCCCTGGGCTGGGGGCCCCCTGTGGTTCTGACCCACCTTCCCCGCCTCCTGTGGCCTGCCTCCTGGCACAGCTCCTCCCCTGCTGGGCACAGGCCCCTCTGGGCAGCAGGACCAGCAAAGGGAAAGGGAAAGTGAGGATGACAAATAGGGGGTGGGACAGGCCCTGCTGGAGGGAGCAGGACAGAGGCCCTGCTCCCCTGGGAGGGGCACTCTGAAGCCCCGCCCCAGCCCCAGTCCACACCCAGTTTTCACCCCTCGCAGCCTGTTGAAGGGTGCAGGTGAAGAGAAGGCTGGACCTGGGTCAGGGACGGATGTGCCTGGAGTTCCTGGTTCTGGGCGAGACATCTGGGAAGTCCCCTCGGCCTTCCCCTGGGGGGACAGAGGGCTGCTGCCCCAGTCCCTCGGCTCATCAGGGTTTCCCATGTTCCAGGGATGGGGGGGCCTCCCTCAGTCATGGGGCAGATGCTCTGCTTCTGGGTGTGGCCAGGCTTATGCTCTTTCCATATAAAGCCATTTTAATGTTTTAAAATGGTTTTCTTTTTTAATGACTAATTTTTTGAGAGAGAGAAGACACAGAGAGGGCCAGGATAAGACAGCACAGATGGGTTGTCCCGCTGGTTCAAACACGCCCTGGCATCTTCCTGGGGTCCCTGACTGGGCTCAACCCCGCGACCTTGGTGAATGAGGAAGACTCTCTGACCAGCTGAGCTACCTACCCTCTCAGGGGTGAATGTTTTCATATTTAACGTTTTGAAACATGGTTGTTTTTTCATGCATATATGATGACATAGCCATAAAATGTTTAGTTTGCTTGGATTGCCTATACGAAAACGTTTCATGAGTTTTCTCCCTGTGATTTTGTCCTCCTGGTGTGCAGGGCCCCAAACTGGTGCATGTGGGACCGTGTGTCTGCGTGGGGGCTGCCTGTGAGCTCTGTCTCCTGCCCCCTGGGCGCCTTTGTCCGTGCCGGGCTGCTGCCGCGCGGCCCTGCTGTGTCTGTGGGGCAGGTACCGGAATCCCGATGCAGACCCACCGCGTGTTCTCATCCTCTGAGGCCGCACTGGCCCGACGCAGATCCACGGGAGTTTAGGGACAAGCGTTTGCACGCTGCAGGAGGAGGCGCCCTGTTGCCAGTGTGTAGGTCAGCTGCAGCGGCACAGACCTCCGTGTGCCCCTGGGACTCCCTGTCCAGGAACATGGCCTGTCGCTCCTCGTCTGCTGGCCTCCTTCTGCGTCCGCACGGTGTCCCCGTCAGGGGGAGGGAGCCGGGAAGGAAAGGCAGGGGAGGCAGGGGTGAGGACCAAGAGGAGGAAAGGGAGCGTGGGGCGGGAAGGAACGGGGCACAGCAGGAAGGGACCCCACTCTGGGCCCGTGGAGGCAAGCAAAGGGCTGGGGACAGCACAGAGTGGGGGAGACGAGAGGGAGCAGTGGGGGGTGTGGATCCGACTCCACCTCTTCCACTTGCAGCCCTGGGAGAAGGGACAGGGCTTTGCCTCGGAGCACCGGGCTCTGAGCATCACTCCCTGTCCCGAGGGTGGTGCGGTCTGCACAGGCTTGGGCATGACGGGGCTTGGCTCAGATGGGGACACCAGGGGAGGCGGCCTCACAAGGCAGGGGCCAGCTAGGAGACCCGGGAGGGGAGCCCCTCGCAGTCCATCCCCCTCACCTGGGCCTGGCGCCATCCCCTCTGGGACAGGCAGTCTCCCTGGCACAGCGGCAGCAGGGGCAGGGGGAGCACCCAGGGTCAGAGCAGGAGCCTGCAGAGGGGAGGAGAGGAGTCCCCATCAGGGAGGCCAGGAGGAGGGGGTCAGGAGCAGGACTGGCCCTGTCCTGGGTCCCAGGCATGGCCACCTGCTGAGGCCTCCAGGGCTGCCTGTTACCACCACCCTCTGTCACCACGGCCCTCTGTCAACACTCCCTCCCAGCACAGGGCTGCCCATGGGGGAGCACAGCCTGCTGGAGGACTGAGGGACTGACTGCACATGGGAGGGTTATTTGTAAATGAGACTTCCCATCCCTGTCATAACAACCTCACCCTTAGCGGAGGACTAACTGTCTCAGACACTGTCCTAATGCACGACATTCAACTGCCAGCACTGCCCCCAAGGTCAGTCACTGTCACTCCCCATATGTTACAGGTGGGAACCCAGGAGCTGGTCCTGTTCCCTCCCCAGTGCCTACAAGGTCTCCCAGGAAAGAGCCCTGGGCCCTCTCATCATTTCATGGGCTGTGCTTCATGGGCTGTCAGCCACCCTTCATGGTGGGTCCCTGCCGTTGTCCATCCAAAGTGTGTAGAGGCTGCCGTGTTCTGGGCTTGGTCCCGTCCTCCTGCTGCCTCCTTGGATGGAGGAATGAAGTGTGGAGGGGGCCGCCATCTGAGGCTCAGAGGAGACCAGGGAAGACAAGCCCTGGAGCTGAGCTGGGGGACAGGGCGGTGGGCCCAGTGCCCGAGAGCATCACTGACCCCTGAGCCAGGCCCCCACCCTCCTGCTCTGCCCACAGGTCTGCTTCTGTGGGACGGGCTGACTTTCTGCCCCCTGCAGGCAGCTTCTGTCCCAGGCAGCACAGTCCCCGACACACCCCTCCCTCTACCTCGAGTCCTGCCTTCAGGCTCCTTCTTGTCCCTTGTCCTCCCTCCATGGCCCTCAGCCCTGTGTTGTCCCTTCCTGCCCTGCCCTCCCCTTTGCCTCCAGCTCTCTGGTCACGTTGTCTGTCAGCTCCTCCCTCTGGCTGCTAGTCCTCCCTGACTTAGCCCCTTTCCCCTGTGGCCATGGTCATCCTGACTGTCCTCATTCTCTGTCCCTCCATGTCTCACACTAAATGCTCCACCCCAGTGCCTACAGTCACTGTGTGAGCTTGTGACACAGGGTGGACCCAACAAGTGAGCAGAAGTTTGTGAGGAGGGACCCGGGAGCCTTGGCTGCCCAGAACACCTGGTGCAGCACACCCAGCTGTCAGGGCTCACTCAGCATGACTCAGGCTGCACAGAGACAGACACAGGCAGGAGAGACGTCTGGTGCCTGTGGTGGGTCCTGCTTGGCCCCGGGACTGTGAGGGCAGAGGTGAGCCTCGGGCAGGGAAGCCCCTGTCTCAGGCTTCCTCCCAGGTCAGTGGAATTAGCAATGGCCTGTGGACTAGAATAATTCTCAGCCTCCCATCAGATTGGCAGTTCTAGTTTCTCTTCCCTACAGTTACACTCAGTCTTTATCTTCTCCTATTGCGTGGGCTGTCATTTCAAAAACAGCACTGCTGTCTGTATCCTAGTTTGTCAGTGACTTTAGGTTTTTGAACTCCAGTTTCTGCTCCTATAAACATTACCAACTTTTACTTGACAAGTGGGAATTAGTGTGACCACTGCCCTCCTGTGAGGGTCTCAGAAAGAGAGGCGTTTGCCCATTTGCAAGAGTTTGTTGAATACGTTCGGCTTCATGGTACATGCACAGAAGATTTTTAACCTTTTATTTCATTGCTTTGTGTTTAAATCAATAGAAATAATTATTTCTGTAGTAACTGAAAATTATTCTGATAGTATTCAGTAGGATATTACTACTGAATATTTCAACATATAGATTTTAATGAAAAGTAAATCGATCAGATTCATTAAAAACAAACTTCTTATGAGCTCTTGGCCTTTTGCTGGTTCCTGGGGATCAATTTGGAGATGGTGGCAATGGTGAGTTTTCATTTTTTGAAGAAGGTTTGTAGTTCCTCAGAGACAACAGACTTGTTCAGAGAGGTGGAATTCATCTTCACTTCCCTGAACCCTGATGGAGATGCAAGGTTGAAGGGTGTGGGAGGGTAGCAGGTGGGAAGAGGAGCAGAGAGGAGTCTGGGGCAGCTGCAATGGTGGGGAAGGACGGGGGGACACAAGGACGTGGGGGAGCAGAGGGACCTTGTGAGAAGGGAAGGGTGGGAGGGAGCTAGTATCCCAGGGGGGAGCAGGTGACCCAGAGGAGGCCTGAGCAGAGGGAAGGAAGGCCCAGGGAGAGAGCTTGGGGAGGGAGGGGAGCAGGGAGGGGAACTTCACCTTGAGGATATTATCCAGCATCTGTGACTCCTTTCGAATGTGTGCACACAGGTCATCCCCGGGCTCAAATGGTCGACCCTGGTGGTCCACGAAGGTGTCCCAGCAGCGCTTGTACTCTGAGGGGCACAGGGACACAGAGGTGAGCTCCAGTTCTAGGGAGCAGGGAGGGGCCACGTGGTGTGTGACCCACAGGGACTCACTGTCCCCATCATTGTTTCAGTGTCCCCTTTCCCTCTCCTCCCAAGGGACAGAGCTGCTCCCTCAACTTCCTCCCTCCAGTGGAAGGTGAGGCCGGGCCATCCCCTGCACTCAGAAGTCCCCGGGTCTCTAGTGCACACGTGCCCAGCCGCCCTCCCTGCCCAGGACCAGGACCAGGTCTGTCCCCAGAACTCTCTTCTCCAGGAGACGCCCCCATCCTCTCAGAGTCCAGCACCCCCCTCTGCAGGCAGCTGGGACAGGCTATTCCTCCAGGGGTTCTCATCCTGCCCACCTCTTTCTGGCAGCTTCCCTCAGGCCTCCCGCTGTCCTCCTCCCACCCCCATGAGTCCCTGCTGACCAGGGATGTCCATGATGGAGATCTGGGCCACAGCCGCCTTCAGTTGGCGAAGTCCGTCCTCATATCCTTCGATATAGCTATGGATGCGGGCGGCGAAGATGCGCAGGCTCACAAGGCTGTTCTCCCGCAGGAAACCCACCAGGCTGAGGGCACAGTCAGGGCAGGGGCTCCAGGAGATGAACACGGTGATGCTGTAGTGCTCGTTCCTGTCCAGGCCCCAGGACCGGATCCGGTCCAGGAAGCACAGCTCTGCATGGCGGGTTTCTTCTGGTGTGTCAGCACCCTGGGCACAAAGGAGGGAGAAAAGAGTTCTGTCACCTGCTGTGAACAGGAGCAGGGCAGGGCCAGGGTGAGGCAGGTGAGGCACTGGCCTCCAGCACAGAATTAGGGGGGCACAGCTCCCCACCGAGAGGGGGGACATTTCCACGCAGGGTTCACTGGGCCAAACTCAGGATGAACAGGACTTCTGCAGGTGACAAAGCCCCGCCCAGCAGTGAGGATGTGTTATTCCCCGTCAGCCAATCCTGGCTCCCCACGGCGCTGCACTGGATCCGCCCCTTTATACTGTCCATGTTTGGCTCATCAGGGAATGGGCATGAGTTCCGATTTGAAACTATTGCGCTCATGTGAATCCTCTCGATGACTGCGTTCCCAGAGCCCCTGTGTTTTGTGTCTGAGGCCCACCTCTTCTGGAGCCGGCCCTACATGGTTGGACCCTGGGGGGCCAGATGAAGAGCTGAGGACAGAGGGAGGGGGCTGGCGAGCCCCAAGGTCACCAGTGGGATGCCACAGAGAGGGGTGCTTCCTCCAGGGAGGGGTTGGCCCTGCTCTCCATGCACTCCCCTCCTGGCCCTCCCTCCAGGCACCAGGCTTCAAGTCCCAGCTCTGGGTTTCCCCTCCTGAGGGAGAGAGGGGGGAGGGCCACCAAGGCAGAGGAGCTCAGGAAACGAGGGCAATGTCACCGCTGGGGTTTGAGGATTCTGGAGACGTGTGCAAGCACAGACAGGGGACTGTGGACCAGGGCCTTGGCGAAGGGGAACAAGTCCTGCCCAACGGGGGGTGCAGACCCCGCTGGGAGTGTGCGGGCCCTGGGGCCGGAGCAGGCGTCCCCGGGCTCAGTGCAGCCAGCACGTCTGCTGTGGGGACCAGCACCCTGCCCGGAGCTCCCTGCAGTGACTGGAGGGAGCACCAGGCGGCTCTCAGGTTCTCTGGCCAGAAGCCGCCACAGACAGGAGGTGGGGGGACCCTGACCCCAGGTCCAGAGGTCTTTCCCTCTGTCTGGGCCTCTCCTGGGAGGCTGAGCAGGAGGGCACAAGGAAGCCCTGGGACACTGGGACCACTGTTTCCTGTGTGGCCCACAGCTGCCCGTCACGGCAGCGTTCCTCCCCCCTGTCTCTAGGCAAAGCCACAGAAGCTGCAGGGACAAAGGACGATGCGGAGAGGACACCTGGAGCTTCCCTGAAACCTTCTCCCTGAATCTCCCAGGGCAGGAGGCCCTGCCTGCGGCGGTCTGTCACCTGGTTGCGCAGGAAGCCCTTCAACTGGTCCTCTGGGATCCCGGAGTCACCTTCTGGTTGCTCCACCTCGTAGCACAGGTATGTTTCATGTGGCATTTGTGGACCAAAGTTCTCAATGAAGATGTCCTTATCCATCCGGGGTCTGTGGACACAGGCAGGAAAAACCCACAGGCATGGGGCTCCTCCAGGGACCCCCAGTTCTCCTGCCCTTCTCTGCATATCCCTTCCCTTCTCCCTGGGCTCCCCAGCACCCCACATCCCAGCTGGACCCATAGGGGATGGGTGTCTGCCCACTTAGCTGGAGTCACCTGAGTCCCTGTGGGACCCCTTCCGGGCTCCTGGGGACGTCAGCCCTGTGCTCCTGTCAGGGTCCCACCCAGGAGCAGTGGGGGGTGCTCAGAGCCCTAATGGGGAGCAGTTGTTCTGCCCCGAGAGGGCTGGGTCTCCTCTCCTGGCATCACCATCCTGCCCTTGACCCGGTGGAAGCCTTGAGCGGTGAAGGGAACATGGGTGTGGGGCGCGGCACACGCGGAGGGAGAGGCAGAGAGGACATGGCTCAGGTGCAGGTGGTGGGAGGGGAGAGGGGGTGGAGGGATCACTTACCGAAGGATTTCTGTAAGGGTTTTATGCAGAGCATCATAATTTATATGTATATCCGGCCAATACCAGGAGGACCATCTGCGTTTGTCTACAAAGTTGTTCCAACAGTATTTAATATCTGAGGCAAAGAGGGGAGACAGCAGTCAGGTCAGGCCAGGGAGCCTCTCTGTCCTGACCCTGCCCTGGCCTCGCCCCTCAGGGCCTGGTCTCCTCCCTTCAAGACGCCATCACTCCTGCCTCAGATTCCCACGTTCCCCTTCCACTCGCTCTCCCTGGGGAATTCTAGGTGTCCCCGAGCCTGGTCCGATCCCCGGGACAGCCCTGCCCCATACCCCTCTGCTCTCACTCTTTGGAGACATTACGGCCACCTCGGCCCCTGCGCCGGCCAGACTACGAAGCCCCTGCCGGTATTCCTGCTTCTTGCTGTGGTAGAGGCGTGAGAAAGTGATGCGCAGCCGCACGTGCTTGTGCGTGTTCAGGAACTCGGCCACCTGCTTCGCACACTCCACACAGGGGCTCCAGGACATATACCAGGTGATGTCGTATTGTTCCCCAGGGCCCGGGGTCTTCTCCAAGGGTGACTCCTTGAACCAGTTCAGGAAGCAGATTTCTGTGTGGAGTCTCTTCTTTGGATAGAACTGGCAGAGAGGGACAAGGGAAGGGGACACGCTTGGCTGTCAGAGCAGGCCTATGGCAGGCCCGAGGGGCTGGGGACCAGGGCACAGGGAGCAGCGGTCTCAGGGGCAGGCTGTGGACCCCTTTGTGCTTTCTCAGCCCCTCCCTCCCCCTCTGTGCTCATTTGGCCTCCCCTCCCCCACTCATCCATGAACTCCAACACCCATTCTCCCCGCCCTTCCTCCTACAGGCGTCCCGAGCACCTGCCCCTGGCCGGGCCTCTGGTTCCCCGGGTGCCGTCCGCTGGGGACGGCCGGGGAGCTGCCTTGTCCACAGGGGAGTCCACAGCCACACGCGTGTACCATGTCGTGACGTGTGGCTCACCCGGATTAAGACGTGGGGCAACTGTGAAACACGCACTTCCTGTCAATGACTTAGTGTGAAGAAATAGAATAAACTCTCTCCGAGGAACTTTTTTGTTGACTGTGTTGAAATAACCCCTGAGCGCTATTACAGAGACACGCCAGCATGACATTCATCAGTTTCTCATAAAGTCTGAACGCTGGGCACAGGACAAATGGTTAAATGACATGAGCGACCTCGTTGCCCGTCCACAGGGTGGTCCCACTGCAGTGACAGCTGTCATCCCATAATGATTCCTCCCCACAATGGGCTCTGAGTGGTCTGCAGCCTGGTGGAGGTGGGAGGGCTGGTGGGTGGAGGGACAGGGCAAGGGGGTCAGGGGTTGGCTGCAGGCTGGGGGGCGTGCTCTGCCTCTGCTGAGGCTGCGTCCTCCTCCAGGGAGACCTGGGCCCAGGCTCAGAGCAGGCAGGGGGCCAGCAGGTGGGGGTGGGTTCTGCCCTGGGGGTCACACTTGCTGGGTTTGGAGGAGTCAAGGGTGTGGCTGGGGAGGACCCAGCCAGCAGAGCACCCCCTGGGGCCCCCTAAGCAGCTGGGGCTCAGCAGGCCCCACTCTCTAAGGTGCCCTTCCCTCCAAGGCTGCAGAGGCCCTGGGTGAGGGGCAGACTGATGGGCAGCAGATGCTCTAAAAGCGGCCTCTTGGGCCAGGCCAATGGCACAGTGCATCGGGATTCAGGGGGTCAAGCGGGGACATGAAGGCCTAAAACAGGACAACAGTGAGGGGAGGAGGCTCTGGCATTCTACTTGTTTGCTTTCCACATGGGTGCCTTAGATGACCAAATTGTGGGTCGTGTACCTGGTTTTCAAAGACCCCTCTGGCCAAGGGGATAGGTGAGTGGTTTCCTCGCACTTCGTAGCAGATGTAGCAGCCATTTCGACCTTTCGGGGTGAGCTCGTTTGTGAAGTGAAAGTTGAAATAGTCTGCATGTAACTTCTGCATCGGGTTCCTGGGGACAAGAGAGACGACAGAAAACACACAGTGTCTCCTGGGCTTTCTGCTATCCGGTTTCTCTTGAACAGGGGCCCAGGACCCCCTGGGTGCGGTGGCCCCCTCCCCCTTCCACCCAGGATGTCCTGCCTCCCACCAGCCAGGACCACAGGCAGAGGAAGAGGAGGGGCCTGCAGGGACAGCAGGGACCGTGTCCTCTCCTGCAGGACGCCGGTTCTGCTGCTGCCAACAGCACACACCCATCCCGGCCTCAGACTCCTGGCCACTCATCCCCAAGCCACCGGGAAAAAAGAATAATAAAACCGCCTGCACTCTCCAAAAGTAACCTTTAATATTGAAGTTCAAATCACACCTCACTTTTCACTTATACAGGCTTATTGGTTAAAATATCAGGCTAACACCTGGAATTTCAGGCTCACACTACTGTTCTAAGAGCTCCATGTATGTGAACTCTAGTCCTCCCCAAATCTAGGGGCGTCACCCCGTTGTACAGAGAAGGAAGCAGGGCAAGACAAGTAGTGGCTGGTGCAGTGCAGGGCAGGGGACAGCCCAGCCCCACAGACTGGCAGCCTGAGAACAGGACCAGGAGGACACAGCCAGGGGCATTGTGGGAGGGACCATTCAGCAGCAACAGTGGGGGCATCCCCAGAGCAGGACACAGACCCCGGATGGACAGGGAGCTGATGGAAGGAGCCCAGAGGGAGGAGAAGCCAGGCTGGTGATGGGGTGGACGAGGCTGAGGACAGACCCCACAGGGACCACCGTGTAGGAAGGGGCCACAGAAGGGACAGGGTGGGCAGCGGTACCTGGGCCAGGGCTTCGGGGGATAGCCTTCCTTCCAGGGGAGTTTGCTTCCCGCCATTGTCCCCAGCGCTGGCTCTGCCTTTCTGCTCAGAGGGCTCCTGCTTCAGAGAAGTCCCTCATCTGCGATCTCCCGCCTTGTCAGTGGAGGCCCCACCTCCCCCTGCGTGGGCTGCAGGGTGGGAAGGCCCTGAGCTGGGGGCCCCCTGTGGTTCTGACCCACCTTCCCTGCCTCCTGTGCCCTGCCTCCTGGCACAGCTCCTCCCCTGCTGGACACAGGCCCCTCTGGGCAGCAGGACCCACGTTATTGCAAAGGGAAAGTGAAAGTGAGGATGACAAATGGGAGGTGGCACAGGCCCTGCTCCCCTGGGAGGGGCCCTCTGAAGCCCTGCCCCAGCCCCAGTCCACACCCAGTTCTCACCCCTCAGCAGCCTGTTGAAGGTCGCAGGTGAAGAGAAGGCTGGACCCTGTGTCAGGGCCGGATGTGCTTGGAGTTCCTGGTTCTGCACGTGGCCGTCTGGGAAGTCCCCTCAGCCTTCCCGTGGGGGGACAGAGGGCTGCTGCCCCAGTCCCTCCTGCTCAGTCAGTGTTTCACTGGTTGCAGGGCTGGGGGAGGGGGCGGCGGGGGCCGGGGGGAGGCCTCCCTCAGTCACAGGGCAGATGCTCTGCTTCCCTGTGTGGCCAGGCTCTCAGGTTACAACGTGCAATGCAGGAGGTCAAGCCCGGGATCTCACTGCTGGTTTGGATAAGCCAACAGCACCACAAGGAGGACCTGGTGGAGCAGACACAGCCTTTATTCCTCCATTACAGGGATTGGCGACCTCAGCAGGTTGGAGGAGCTGGACTGTGCTTCCCCCAGTCTGAGACCCGGTCTGAGGGCCCCAGACAGAGGCAGCAGGGGTCCAAGATGCATGAGCTTTCCCGCGGCCAGACGCTGTGCTGGGTCAGTGTGTGCACAGAAAAAGGGAAGGTCAAGGAGCAGTCCCCAGACGGGGAAACCAGTCCCCAGGGGAGATGAGGAGGGAGTTACCATCCTTGTGCTCGGGACCGCGCTCGCCCTGTCTGGCCAGGGGCCCTCTGACCAGCTGTCTTGGCCGCGGTGGGAGAGCCATGTCCAGGAGGAACCCCACGCCCCGCCCCAACGTGGCTCCTCCACCTCACACTCTTGGCGTCTTCTGACAGGGGCCCCTGTGGTGAGCGTGTTGGCACGCGGGCCCCATAGACCACAGGTGCAGCAAAGGCTACACCCCAAGACTAAAAGTGCAAGACAGAAGCCAAGGACACCTAGCAGGAGGGAACGCAGCCCAGAACCTGAGGAATTCCAGCAAGTCGTAAAGGCGTCAGAAGGCTTGGCCAATCCATGACTGATTTCGGTTCCTCGGGCGGCTAAGGCTCGGGGCAGGTTGTGGGCATTGCAGGGACATGCCCACAGCCCTCGGTGTGCAGAAGGGCACAGGTGTCCCCGCCCCCCCGCCCCCACCCCCCGGTGCGGCGAGGAGCCGATGCCGTGTTCCTCTGCAGCACAGCCGTTCTCGCTCGAGTGACCTCAGCAGCAACCAGAGGGACGGCACGCGTGGCGTGAGCAGGGTACGGCGGTGTGATTGGCTAGGGCCTCACATGGCTTCCTGGGTGAGAGCCGCGCCTGCAGGGCGCACACACAAGGCCAGAGAGTAGAGCCCCCAGTCTGAAGGCTTGACTTGACAGCATGCCCGAATGAGCCCCAATTCCGAGGGGCACTTGGAAGAGTATTTAACACTCGCCCCAGAGTGGAGTGTGCGGTTCTCCCAGGAGCAAAGCCCAGCCCAGTTCCATGGGAGGTAAGGCCAACCATATTGGCCACAGGCCCACAGGGCGGGTGTCCCACTGGCAGTATGCCCCCAGTGGTCAGTAGCAGTCATTACCGCAATCCTCCCCCATAGGGCTGCCGGCAGCCACCCCAGGAGCTGAACAGTCTCATTTGCAGGGCTGTTTCTGCGTTCAGTGCGCATGGGGCCCGGCGGCTGCACCTCCGCCTGTAATCCTGACCGCCACCCCACACGACCTCAAACTGTGTAGGTGAGCCGTGGCTCAGTGCGGGTCCCTGTTCTCTCGGGAGGGAAAACACCTCTCGGCGTGTCTTCCTCGGACAGGGGTCAGGAGCTCTGCAGCCTTCCAGCCTTGCAGCCAGGCCCAGCGTGTCTGCTTCGCTGGGTGGACGCGCCAGGAGGGGCGGGCAGAGGCATCAGTGGGCAAAGTCGGTGCAGACCCGGCAATGGGGCTGGTTGCTGGCGGCTGCCAGGGGGCCGGACCCCTGGAGACGGGAGTTTCCGGAGCAGGGTCTAGGGGCGCCAAGGCAGAGGTTTAGGAACCACTAACGGAGGCGGACTTGGCGGGCCGGCAGTACAGGCAGCAGTCGGGTCTGGGGTGGGTGTGGTCACAGGAACCCGCGGACGCCCTGGCTGCTGGCGCCAAGCGCTACGCTCAGGGCCTCCTGCACTGGAAGGGCCAGGACAGGTGGGCGCGCCTGCCCAACCCAGCCTCTTTAGGTTCCCGTAGGAAGTGAGGTCCGCTGTGGCTGAAAACAAACAAGGGTGAGAGGCCGGGAGGCCGGTACCATGGGTGGCAGCGGCAGCCCTGTCGCCAGTCCTTCTCCCCCAGGAGCCACCAAGGAACAGCAACGGGAGTCCGCCCACGCCCGGCAAGGCCAGGAGAGGGTGCTTTCCCCGGGCTGTGTCTGGGGCACCCGCAAGTCCTTGTTATTTTGTTGCAACATCCAGGGGGCAGCAGAGGCCCTGGGTGCTTCCCTGTAGGCGGCTAGGAGCCACCCGGGGTTTAATGAGAAGCTTGATGGGACACGCTTGTCCTGCCCTAGGCCGCTCATTCAAAGCTCATGGACACGTGGAAAGATGCAGTGTCGCCCCTGAATGTGCCAGACTTGGTCTTTAGCGCATCTTTGAGAAGGCCGTTCTCTCTGTCCATGAGGCCAGCCCCAGGAGGGAGGCACAGCAGACGGAATCTCCAGTTTCGGCTGGGAGCATCTGCGCATCCCTGTGCTCGATGTCCCATGAAATGGGCACCTCGGTCGCTTTCCATGACGTGCGGGCTCCCCAGGCAGCACGATGCTGCTTCTGGCCTCAGAGGGTGTCTCCCTGTGCGGCCCGCGTGCCTGGGTCTGCTCGCAGCAGGCCAGTGGTGTGTCCACGCAAGTCAGGGCAGAGCGTGAGCCTTCAGATGGGGTGGGGCCGATGTAGTGGACCAGTCAGTGGGTCAGCGGGGTGTCCCCCATTGGGCACCACTGGTATCCCGGGGCAGCCCGTGAGGGTGCTTTCTGTACAGACAGTGCATTGCTGACAAGCCGTGACAACATTGGAGTCACGGAGCGACAGCCTTGGAGCCTTTACCACTTCCCGTGAAGTCCTCTGCCCCCCGCACCCCCCAAGATGTAACTTTCTGCGGAGCCCCCCGGCCGAGCCTTCTGCTGGAGCCCCTGCTAGCCAGCGGATGCCTCCAGGTCGTCGGCTTCGGCATTGCCCACATTGCCAAAAGGCTGCTGTCCACTGACGTGGTAAAGAGTTAGTACCTTTTACAGACTGTGTTCAACAATGTCCTTCCATAGCTCCTCTCCCCATCCAGGTCGTGGAGCCACCTGCCAGTCGTCTTGTTGCCATCGGGGCAACCCTGGAGCCAGTCCTCTGTACAGTGCCCCACTCTCTGTGCTAATGGGCCCCGGGCCTGGTTGTCGGGTTACGCAGATCCAGACGGCTCTCAGCCCAGCTCATTGGCCGCTCATCCATTTGCTTCCATCCATTTGCTGTCGAGCCGTGCTGACAGGCTACCGCCCTGCAGGGGTTGGCAGGCCTCGGCAGGAGCCATCAGTGGACCAGGGGTCCTGGACTCAGGGCTCGTCGCTCTTTAACAGCAGGCCCAGGCCTGGGAAGGGCTGCAGGGGCACCGTGTCTGCATCCCGGTAGGTAACCGGGCCCCAGAGCTGCTGCGGTTCTTGCTCAGAGGGCTGCTCTCTTCGAGACACGCCCTCCACTCAGTCAGAGTGGCCATCTGGGCTGCTGAGCTCCTGAGTCCATTTACAAGGCCCTGTGTCCACCCGGCAATGGGATAGGTAGTGTGAACTTGAACCTCGCGAAGGTCAGGGATGGCCTCTGGGGCCAGGAGAGCCTGGTAAACAGCGTTCACTTGTTCTCTTGGGCTGCACTGAGTGCCTGCCCCCTTCCAGAGCCAGGACCGGAAGCCGAAGAGCACATTGGTGAGTCCTGTAGGGAACCCACTCACTCAGAAAGCTCCCCAGTCCCTGTGTGGCTCAGCTGGGTCCCCCACCCAATCGGGAGTGCTAAGGTCCCACCCACAGAGACTCAGAATTGGGACTGCATTGCGGAGGGGACCCTCCTAGAGGTGATCAAATTTAAACAAGACGCTGAGAGTGGACCTCATCTACCTTGACTGATGCCCTTAGAAGAGGAGAAAGCTGGGACACAGAGAGGGACCCAGGGGCTCCCCAGCAGCCACCCACAGAGGAAAGGCCACAGAAGGGCAGAGGGAGGGGGAGGCCATCTGCAGCCAGAGAGACAGGCCCCAGGAGCAACCTCCCTGCCAACACCTCGACCTTGGACGTCCAGCCTCCAGACTGTGGGGGGCAAACCTCCAGCTGAGCCACCCAGGCCGTGGAGCAGTGACGGAACCACCTCCCAAAACGCAGGTGTGTGTGCCCCCCGTGCGAGGAGTCAGAACACCAAGACACCGGAGCTACGGTCACTGAGGCTTTATTGGGTTCGGCCGGAGGGAGAGAAGAGGAGGGCCAGACCTCTCCCAGTTCTCTTCTCCGACAACCGGAAATTCGGCATTTTTCTGCCGCTGGAAGAAGGGGAGGGCGGCTCCGGAGACCTGGAGAGAAGCCTGTGTTCCCTCCAGCTCAGACCAGGCCTGTTCCCATCAGACCTGGGCCCGCAGCTGGGCTGGGCTCCCAGGGACACGGTCTTCCTTCTGCAGCAGGCCCGGGAAGCCCCCTGGGACCCTGAGGTCATCCCCTGCTTGACAAGGAGACAGCACCTTCTAACCACACTTCTGACCGCCTTCCCAAGTCTAAAGGACTTGAGCAGGAAGAGCTGTCACCCCGGGGGCGCCGGCCTGACTGACAACACAACCCCTGGACTGCAGCTGCCCCAGAGGCAGGGGCACTCAGGTGGCCCGGGGCCGAGCCTCAGGGCCCCTGAAGGAGGCCTGGCAGCCGAGTGCCATGGCTCTCTGCTTGTCACACTGCTGCACTTGGTGCCCATTGTGTGCAGTTAATGACAGGGTCTGGTTAGTGTGGTGACATGGGAGGGCCCCATTAAGGGGGGGGGCTCCCTTCCTTTTGGGGATGGGGAGGCCGGGAGGGGTAAAGGGAAAATGGGTGTGGGGGGCACCTTAGGGATCACAGAGGCAGAGAGGACAGAGCTCAGGTGCAGGAGGTGGGAGGGGAGGGAGATCAGGACAGAACAGAAGAGGGAGGGGGCTGAGGGAACACTTACCAGAGGATTTCTTTAAGCTCATCATCCAGAGCATGATAATTTCGACGGATACCCTTCCAATACCAGAAGGACATTCCGCGGTTATCCACAAAGTTGTCCCAACAGTATTCAAAATCTGAGGCAAAGAGGGGAGACAGCAGTCAGGTCAGGCCAGGGAGCCTCTCTGTCCTGACCCTGTCCTGGCCTCGCCCCTCAGGGCCTGGTGTCCTCCCTGCAAGACGCCATCACTCCTGCCTCTGATTCCCATGTTCCCTTTTCACTCACTCTCCCCGGGAAATTCTAGGTGCCCCCGACCGTGGTCCGATCCCCGGGACAGCCCTGCCCCAGCTCCCTCTGCTCTCACCCTCGGGAGACATCATGGCCACCTCGGCCCCCGCCTGGTCCAGCAGTCGAAGCCCCTCCTGCTGGCCCTGGTCATCACGCTTGTACAGGCGGGAGGCGGAGATGCTCAGGCTGACGTTCTCGTGCTCCCCCAGGAAGCTGACCACCTCCTCTGCACACTCGAAGCAGGGGCTCCAGGACATGTACCAGGTGACACGGTAATCCGCACGAGCAGACAGAATCGTATCATAGAACCAAGAGAGGAAACGTTGTTCTGCGTGGAGAGGCTCCTCCGGGTAGACCTGGTGGAGGTGGGAGGGCTGGTAGGTGGAGGGACAGGGCACAGGGGTGTCAGGGGTTGGCTGCAGGCTGGGGGGCGTGCTGTGCCTCTGCTGAGGCTGCTTCCTCCTCCAGGGAGACCTGGGCCCAGGCTCAGAGCAGGCAGGGGGCTGGGAGGGGGCAGGGGTGGGTTTTGTCTTGGGGGTCCCAGCTGCTGGGTTTGGAGGAGTCAAGGGTGTGGCTGGGGAGGACCCAGCCAGCAGAGCACCTCCTGGGGCCCCCTAAGCAGCTGGGGCTCAGCAGGTCCGACTCTCTAAGGTGCCCTTCCCTCCAAGACCGCAGAGGCCCTGGGTGAGGGGCAGACTGACGGGCAGCAGATGCTCTAAAAGGGGCCCCGTGGGCCAGGCCAATGGCACAGTGCATCGGGATTCAGGGGGTCAGGTGGGGACATGAAGGCCTAAAACTGAGGATAATGGTGTGGGGAGAAGGCTCTGGCATTCTACTTATAACAGTTTTTCCACCTCCTTCCCTTTGGTGACAGTATCATGGCTCCTGTACCTGGTTTCGAAAGACCCCCCCAGTAGGAGGACTCAGGAGAGTCAAGCTGTTCTTCCTCCACCTCGAAGCAGAGGTAGGTGGAGTTCCGGTTAGGGGCCTCTCGCAGGTTGCAGAAGTTGAAGTTGTAGGCCTTGGGAGGTAAGCTGTCCATTAGGATGGTGGGGGCAAGCGAGAAAACAGAAAATGCACAGTGTTCTCTGGGCTTTCTCTCCCATCTCCCCTCCATCCCTTCTCCCCAGCATGCCCTGCCCTGTCCCAGGCAGGAAGATGGGGAGAGGAAGAGGAGGGGTCTGCAGGGACAGCAGGCACCAGCATCCTCTCCCGTGGGACCCCCGCTCTGCTGCTTCCCACAGCACACCCCACCCCCACCCCAGCTTCCTGCTCACCCATCCCCAACCCAGGCGAGTATGGACACGGGTGGTACACTGCTCTCTGTCACCACAGGCGGTCACGAGCTGCTGGTAAGGACCAGCCGGCAAGGGCCACGGGACGCTGAGCTCAGTGCTCGGGGAGCCTCAGCCTGCTTGCTTAGCTGGCCCCGCAGCCTCACGGACTCCGTGCCACACTCCAGGGCTCTGCCGCTGGGCCCTCTGAGTCCTGGGGGCCCCGGAGCTCTCCCCAGGGCAGGGGGAGGTGCTTGCCCCCAGAGGCTGCAATGTAACTAGTGGGTGGACCCTCAGAGGTCAGGAAAGTTTGGGAAGTTGACTGGTTATTTTGAAAAAGCTCCTCACCCTTCCCAAGGCGATACAGTCCCAGAGGAACAGGGAAGCTCTCTCTGTCTCTGGCTCCGGGGGACTTGCACAAACGCTGTTTGGTCTGCGATCGCGCTCTCTCTCTCTCCCTCTCCCTCCCTCTCTCTCCCTCTCTCTCCCTCTCTCTCCTTCTCCGTCTCCCTCTCTCTGGAATACCTCCCCTAGGTGGGTGTAGCGGCTGTGCGGGCCTGCAGTGGACGCAGGGCACCAACGGTTCAGCTCGCACGTGAAACAGGAACTGTCAACACCGGCCTTGGTTTCCGCCCGGTGAAGATGCGGTTGAACTTGTTCCGTGGGGGGACAAGTGGAGGTGGGACATTGCACACCCAGGCTCGGGCTTCCACCGGAATAAACTTTGCCTCCCACCATCTCCGGGCATAGGTCCCTGAAATAGTTTTCTCCTGACACTGTGGAAGAGCCTGGTCTCCACGGGCAACACCTCCACCCCCAAGTGACAGTTTTTACAATGTAGGTACATTCATGCCTAAGCTTTGTGCTAGGCAACTTTTTTTGCTCAAGCTAAGAAATACATTCACAGGCTCCAGCGACTGTTGCAGGAGCTCCGTGTGCCTGAACTCCCTTTCTCCTTCCCAGAATTCTGGGGGAGTCACTCCACTTCATAGAGGAGGAAGCAGGCACACAGAGGGGAGTGGCCCAGTCCAGTACAGCGCAGGGGAGTGACAGAGAGGGTCCCCTGATCCGGCAGAGCACCAGCAGGACGGGAAGGGCAGTGTGTGCCCTGGGGGGTGAGCTGCTCTTTGCTACCCAGTTGTGAGCCTTTCTCCTGACCGAGGGCGGCCCTGTTCTCTGCTCCCCCTGCTGGTCACTACGCTTACACACGCCAAGGACGTGGCCGTGTCTGGGAGCAGAGTGGCTCACTCTTGAGCTCACAGTGGGGCCGCCTGGGGGAGCTCAGGGACCTTCTGGCCCAGGGAGCTGCTCTCACACGCTGTGTGTGGTGGGGCCATTCAGCAGCAGGAGTGGAGGGCATCCCCAGACCAGGGCAGAGATCCCAGATGCAGAGGGAGCTGAGGATAGGAGCCCAGAGAGAGGAGAAGCCAGGCTGGCGGTGGGGTGGACGAGGCTGAGCACAGACCCCGCAGGGACCACCGTGTAGGAAGGGGCCACAGGGGGGACAGAGTGGGCAGCGGTACCTGGGCCAGGGCTCCATGACGTCGTCCTCCTGCTGGGCTGTTTCTCTGCTGGTATCTGCCCCCAGCGCTGGCTCTGCCTTTCTGCTCAGAGGGCTCCTGCTTCAGGAAAGTTCCTCGTCTGTGATCTCCCAGCCTTGTCACCTGATGCCCCACCTCCCCCTGCATGGGCTGCAGGGTGGGAGGGCCCTGGGCTGGGGGCCTCCTGTGGTTCTGACCCACCTTCCCTGCCTCCTGTGCCCTGCCTCCTGGCACAGCTCCTCCCCTGCTGGACACAGGCCCCTCTGGGCAGCAGGACCCACGTTATTGCAAAGGGAAAGTGAAAGTGAGGATGACAAATGGGAGGTGGCACAGGCCCTGCTCCCATGGGAGGGGCCCTCTAAGCCCCGCCCCAGCCCCAGTCCACCCCCAGTGCGTGCCCTTCCTAGCCTGTTGAAGGACGCAGATGAAGAGAAGGCTGGACCCTGGGTCAGGGACGGATGTGCCTGGACTTCCTGGTTCATCCAGTGGCTGTCTCGGAAGTCACCCAGCCTTCCCGTGGGGGAACAGAGGGCTGCCCCCCAAGTCCCTCTGCTTTCACAAGTTCGGGGCGGGGGAGTGGGGTGTGCCCTAAGTCACGGGGCAGATGCTCTGCTTCCCTGTGTGGCCAAGCTCTCAGATTATGCTCTTTCCATATAAAGGTGTTTTAATTTTATTTAATGGGGGTTTTTTGTGTGTGTGAACTGATTTTGAGAGAGAGAAGAAGGCAGAGAGAGCAGGGATAAGACAGCACAGATGGGTTGTCCCGCTGGTTCAAACACGCCCTGGCATCTTCCTGGGGGGCCCTGACTGGGCTCAACCCCGCGACCTTGGTGAATGAGGAAGACCCTCTGACCAGCTGAGCTACCTACCCTCTCAGGGGTGAATGTTTTCATATTTAACGTTTTGAAACATGGTTGTTTTTTCATGCATATATGATGACATAGCCATACAAATTTTAGTTTGCTTTGGATTGCCTATACAAAAACGTTTCATGAGTTTTCTCCCTGTGATTTTGTCCTCCTGGTGTGCAGGGCCCCAAACTGGTGCATGTGGGACCGTGTGTCTGCATGGGGGCTGCCTGTGAGCTCTCTCTCCTGCCCCCTGGGTGCCTTTGTCTGTGCCGGGCTGCTGCCGCGCGCAGCCCTGCTGTGTCCGTGGGGCAGGTACCGGAATCCCACGTGCAGACCCACCGCGTGTTCTCATCCTCTGAGGCCGCACTGGCCCGACGCAGATCCACGGGAGTTTAGGGACAAGCGTTTGCACGCTGCAGGAGGAGGCGCCCTGTTGCCAGTGTGTAGGTCAGCTGCGGCGGCACAGACCTCCGTGTGCCCCTGGGACTCCCCGTCCAGGAACACGGCCTGTCCCTCCTCGTCTGCTGGCCTCCTTCTGCGTCCGCACGGAGTCCCCATCAGGGGGAGGGAGCCGGGAAGGAAAGGCAGGGGAGGCAGGGGTGAGGACCAAGAGGAGGAAAGGGAGCGTGGGGCGGGAAGGAACGGGGCACAGCAGGAAGGGACTCCTGTCTGTATGGTAGTTTGTCAGTGACTTTAGCTTTTTGAACTCTAGATTCTGCTCCCATAAACATTACCGACTTTTACTTGACAAGTGGGAATTAGTGTGACCACTGCCCTCCTGAGAGGGTCTCAGAAAGAGAGGCGTTTGCCCATTTGCAAGAGTTTGTTGAATACTTTCGGCTTCATGATACATGCACAGAAGATTTTTAATCTTTTATTTCATTGCTTTGTGTTTAAATCAATAGAAATAATTATTTCTGTAGTAACCGAAAATTATTCTGATAGTATTCAGTAGGATATTACTACTGAATATTTCAACATATAGATTTTAATGAAAAGTAAATTGATCAGATTCATTAAAAACAAATTTCTTATGTGCTCTTGGCCTTTTGCTGGTTTCTGGGGATCAATTTGGAGATGGTGGCAATGGTGAGTTTTCATTTTTTGAAGAAGGTGTTTCATTTGTTTTCCTCAAGGACAACAGACTTGTTCAGAGAGGTGGAATTCATCTTGACTTCCCTGAATCGGGATGGAGACGCAGGGCTGAAGGGTGTGGGAGGGCAGCAGGTGGGAAGAGGAGCAGAGAGGAGTCTGGGGCAGCTGCAAGGATGGGGAAGGACGGGGGGACACAAGGACGTGGGAGAGCAGAGGGCCCTTGTGAGAAGGGAAGGGCGGGAGGGAGCTGGTGTCCCAGGGGGGAGCAGGTGACCCAGAGGAGGCCTGAGCAGAGGGAAGGAAGGCCCAGGGAGAGAACTTGGGGAGGGAGGGGAGCAGGGAGGGGAACTTCACCTTGAGGATATTATCCAGCATCTGTGACTCCTTTCGAATGTGTGCACACAGGTCGTCCCCGGGCTCAAATGGTCGACCCTGGTGGTCCACGAAGGTGTCCCAGCAGTGCTCGTACTCTGAGGGGCACAGGGACACAGAGGTGAGCTCCAGTTCTAGGGAGCAGGGAGGGGCCACGTGGTGTGTGACCCACAGGGACTCACTGTCCCCATCATTGTTTCACTGCCCCCTTTCCCTCTCCTCCCAAGGGACAGAGCTGCTCCCTCAACTTCCTCCCTCCAGTGGAAGGTGAGGCCGGGCCATCCCCTGCACTCAGAAGTCCCCGGGTCTCTAGTGCACACGTGCCCAGCCGCCCTCCCTGCCCAGGACCAGGACCAGGTCTGTCCCCAGAACTCTCTTCTCCAGGAGACGCCCCCATCCTCTCAGAGTCCAGCACCCCCTCTGCAGGCAGCTGGGACAGGCTATTCCTCCAGGGGTTCTCATCCTGCCCACCTCTTTCTGGCAGCTTCCCTCAGGCCTCCCGCTGTCCTCCTCCCACCCCCATGAGTCCTTGCTGACCAGGGATGTCCATGATGGAGATCTGGACCCCAGCCTCCTGCAGTTGGCGAAGTCCGTCCTCATATCCTTCGATATAGCTATAGATGCGGGCGGCGAAGATGCGCAGGCTCACAAGGCTGTTCTCCCGCAGGAAAGCCACCAGGCTGAGGGCACAGTCAGGGCAGGGGCTCCAGGAGATGAACACGGTGATGCTGTAGTGTTTGTTCCTGTCCAGGCCCCAGGACCGGATCCGGTCCAGGAAGCACAGCTCTGCATGGCGGGGTCCCCATATAGTGTAACGAGCCTGGGGACAGAAGAGGGAGAAAAGAGTTCTGTCACCTGCTGTGAACAGGAGCAGGGTGGGGCCAGGGTGAGGCAGGTGAGGCACTGGCCTCCAGCACAGAATTCAGGGGGCACAGCTCCCCACCGAGAGGGGTGACATTTCCACGCAAGGGTCACTGGGCCAAACTCAGGATGAACAGGACTTCTGCAGGTGACAAAGCCCTGCCCAGCAGTGAGGACGTGTTATTCCCCGTCAGCCAATCCTGGCTCCCCACGGCGCTGCACTGCCCATTTACACTGTCCACATTTGGCTCCTCACAGAATGGGCATGAGTTCCGATTTGAAACTATTGCGCTCATGTGAATCCTCTCGATGACTGGGTTCCCAGAGCCCCTGTGTTTTGTGTCTGAGGCCCACCCCTTCTGGAGCCGGCCCTACATGGTCAGACCCTGGGGGGCCAGATGAAGAGCTGAGGACAGAGGGAGGGGGGCTGGCGAGCCCCCAAGGTCACCAGTGGGATGCCACAGAGAGGGGTGCTTCCTCCAGGGAGGGGTTGGCCCTGCTCTCCATGCACTCCCCTCCTGGCCCTCCCTCCCAGCACCAGGCTTCAAGTCCCAGCTCTGGGTTTTCCCTCCTGAGGGAGAGAGGGGTGAAGGCCACCAAGGCAGAGGTGCCCAGGAAACGGGGGGAATGTCACTGCTGGGGTTTGAGGATTCTGGACGTGCAAGCACAGACAGGGGACTGTGGACCAGGGCCTTGGCGAAGGGGAACAAGCCCTGCCCACGGGGTGCAGGGGCTGCTGAGACGGGCCCCCGGCTCGAGTAGTGTCCCCGGGCCCAGTGCAGCGGGACGTCTGCTGTGGGGACCAGCACCCTGCCCTGGAGCTCCCTGCAGTGACTGGAGGGAGCACCAGGTGGCTCTCAGGTTCTCTGGCCAGAAGCCGCCCACAGACAGGGAGGTGGGGGGGCGCCTGACCCCAGGTCCAGAGGTCTTTCCCTCTGTCTGGGCCTCTCCTGGGAGGCTGAGCAGGAGGGCACAGAGGAAGCCCTGGGACACTGGGACCACTGTCTCCAGTGTGGCCCACAGCTGCCCGTCACGGCAACATTCCTCCTCCCTGTCTCTAGGCAAAGCCACAGAAGCTGCGGGGACAAAGGACGACGCGGAGAGGACACCTGGAGCTCCCTGAAACCTTCTCCCTGAATCTCCCAGGGCAGGAGGCCCTGCCTGCGGCGGTCTGTCACCTGGTTGCGCAGGAAGCCCTTCAACTGGTCCTCTGGAATGCTGGAGTCACCTTCTGGTTGCTCCACCTCGTAGCACAGGTATGTTTTTTTTGGCCAGTCTACACCAAAATTCTCAATGAAGACGTCCTTATCCATCTGGGCTCTGAAGACACAGGCAGGAAAAACCCACAGACATGGGGCTCCTCCAGGGACCCCCAGTTCTCCTGCCCTTCTCTGCACATCCGGCCCCTTCACCCAGGGCTCCCCCTGTACCCCACATCCCAGCTGGACCCAGGAGCATGGGTGTCCGCTCACTGAGCTGCAGTCACCCGACTCCCTGTGGGACCCCTTCCAGGCTCCTGGGGACGTCAGCCCTGTGCTCCTGTCAGGGTCCCGCCCAGGAGCAGTGGGGGGTGCTCAGAGCTCTCATGAGGACCAGTTTTTCTGCCCCAGCTGGGCTGAGTCTCCTCTCTTGGCATCACCATCCTGCCCTTGACCCACTGACCACCCCCTTGCGGGTGTGGACCCAGTGGACTGTGTCCCCTGGTCTGCAGGCTGCACCTGAGCCACATGGAGCTTCGGGGCCCAAGCACCTCCCTGAGTGGGGCCGTCGGGAAAGGAGAATGCCAGTGGATTCCTCTCAAATAACTCATGATATTTTCTCTCTAATCATGAAAGCAATAATGCCCTTTACACAAACAGAAACATAAATCTGAATGCAACTCCTGGCCCACAGTTCAGAGCAGAAAGAAGAGACCTCACAGGGGTAAAGGGGGAGGGGGAGCAGGGACCTTCGAGGATGACTTCCCCTTGTCTGAGACTGGGGCCTAGGGGCCTACGGGCCTAGGGGCCTAGGGGAGGCAGGTGGGACAGCAAAGGGGGCATCCGCTGAGGGGCCCTGGCTGGACAGAGCAGGGCCACAGGGAGGGAGGTGCAGGAGCAGAGGCGTCCCCAGGGGAGAAGGTCTGTCCCCTCAGGGAGCCTGGAGGAAGGGTTCAGAGGTAGAGGTGCTTCCAGAGGTGGGCAGTACCTGTCCCCAGGCGCTGGGCCTGCCTCCATGTCTGAGTTCCTTCCCGGTCTCTGGTTCTGCATCCTTGGCTTGTCTGCCTGGTCGCAGCCTGTGTCCTCTTGCTGGGATGCTTTCATGGACCCGAGTGTCTTATATTGCAACAGTGCACCCAGATACTGCTGAGCTGGCCATGCTCTGCCCCACCCCTTCCCTGAACTCAGGCTACTCATGCCACCCACATGGAGCACAGAAGAAGGAGGCACGTCCTTTGGCCTTGGGGACAAGTTAGGTTTTGACTTCTCTGTTCTGAGAAAGGCCACACCTGGAAGCCATGGGGACTGACCTCGGGCCACTGAAGTCTGAGGAGGCTGTGGTCACTCAGGGCAGCATGGCACAGCAAGACACATGTGCCAGGGCGGGGGACAGCACAGGTGTTCATGCCCTGGGGAGACACGGGGCCAGGACCCAGAGCCCCGGGAGGACCGGACGTGGGCACCTATCCCTGAGTGTCCCCAGCAGCCAGTGCAGGGGCGGCCTGGCCCAGGTCCTGCTGGATGGCGGGCCCTTTGTGGCCTCAGTGAGGACGGAGGCTCGGCCCTGGGAGGCAGCACACGGCTTCATCGGGTCCAGGAAGGGAAGGGAGGGGGTGACAGTCCTGTGCTGAGCTCTCCCGAGGAGCCCACCAAGAAAGGTCAGGAGACAGGGCACCAAAGTTCTCATCCCAATACCCAGGGACAAGAAAGACTCCCGGAGGAAGGAGAACTTGTCTGGACCGCACTGGGGGCAGAAGGACACAGCAGGTGTCCAGCCTCAGGGATGGCCACCTGTCTTTCTCTTGGCTCCAGGCCATGACAAATGTGGGGGAGCTGTGTTCCAGGCTCCAATGTGACCTGAGCCCTAGCTGGCCATGTGTGTCCCCCAGGGGATGCCCCTCTGTCCCACAGACCGCCCATCCGGGCTCCTCTTACACCACCACGTGCTGGCCCAGCGCTCCCTCCCAGGGCTCATGTGCCCACCCGGGAGAGCTGGCCAGCCCCACGGGGTCCCCCACGACCACCTGCACGGAGAACCAGGCCACAACTCCCCCGAGCTGGTCGTCACAGCCTTAGGGGGAAAACTTGAAATCAGTGTCCCCCTTTTCCTCTGGTGGCTGCCCCACCGCACTCAAACAGGGATCCCCTGTGCTGAGACCCCCCCTATGTCCGGTGTCCTCTGGACCTTGGTCCCCCAAGCAGATAGTGTCCCCCTGGCTGATGGCTCAGGGGTTTCCCGGTGAGACCGTATCTGGGTGTGATTTTCTGTTTTACCTGTGTGCCTAATTGACAGGTCACACTCAGCACCCACGGCACGCCCTCCACACCCAGGCATTTTTAGCCTTCCTGGGCTGTGGACAGCATCTCTACAAGGACCAGGGTTAAGAGACTAGGGTCCCTGAGGTTGGCCCCAACCCTGTCCCAGGTCTTCCCCTCCAGGGCGGGAGAATGGCACTCTGATCCTGGCCAGCTCTCCTCCTGAACCCCAAAGTCCCCCCAGTCACTCACCCCCAAAGTGCCTCTGATGCCAACACCCACCCAGGGTCAGAGGGCGGGTCTCCTGTGCACACACCCCGTGCGGGGGGCAAGGGTGGGCTGAGGAGAGTGGGGTCCTGATGCTCCAGGCCCTGAGCCCTGCAGGACCCTCAAAGGTGGCGCCCTCCTGCCTGCCCCGCCCCTTCTCCCGTGGCCCCCGCAGCCCGAGGGCCAGCGCCCCACCAGCTTCAGCTCCGCATCACTTGCGGACCCAAGCAGATGCGCCCTTAAGGCTCTGCCGGAGAGTCTAGTGGGGGACCAAGGAGGGGGCATCTTTGCTGATAGAACACTTTGCTCCCCCATCCCAGAGGGAGGTCTCCCCACCAGTCTAGCTCCTCAGCCAGTAGCTCTGAGGTCTTCTCTTCTGGAATGTTCCCCAGGAGGTCCTCCCTCCCCACTCCCTTTGTCCAGCCTGGGTCGCCACCCCTGACCCGCTCCTGCCGATGCCCGGCGGCCCCTCTGGGGTGCACACAGGCCCGGCTGAGCCGCCGCACACCTGGGAAGGCAGCTGAGCAGTGAGTGGGCAGCACACAGGTGGCTCGGCGAGTCCCGGGACCGCTGGAGGGGACGCCGTAGGTCAGCGCATTTGGGCCTTCTCCCCAAGGGTTCGTGCCCTGAGTTACGTGTCTGTGTCACACGGACAAGGGGCAGGACGGTGCTAAGGAGGTGTCAGCTCGGGCCTGGGTGGGCCTCACCTCTCTGCTTCTGGGCCCCACCCAGGGGCATCCTCCCCCAGTCTGTCCCTGAAGTCTGGCTCCCCAGCTGGGGACCCCGGGGACACGGGCTCTTCCTCCCAGTCTCCCTCAGCCCAGGGCAGGACCTGGTTTTGTGGGAGTGTCAGCAGACCCTAGAGATCGCCTCTGTGTCCACAGCAGCCTGGGCAGGACGCACTGAAAGCAGCTGGGCAGACAGAAGCGGAGAAATCCTGTCTCTCCCAGGGAATGACAGTCCCATGCCCGTGTCCGTCTCTGCAGCACTGAGTGGGAACCGCGAACAATTCCTGCAGCTGCCGAGGTTTCCCACAAAGTGCACAAAGGTCTGGGAAAGAGGTAGGACCTGGGTCCCCCACAGGGGAGGGCAGGTGTGGGGGGAGAGGGGCCCCTGAGCTGGGACAGATGGTGCTGGGCCTGTCCCATTCCCTTGTCAGGGACACTGGGAACAGGCCTGGGTGCCCCAGGGAGCACAGTCTGAGGGGGGGGAGGTTCACCGGGTCCACCCTGCCCCCCTCCCTCTGGGACTGGGGTGCGGCATCTCCACATGTCTTCAGTCAGGCCAGGCCACTCCATGTGAGGCCCCAGGTCTGCCCTCTCATAGGGGGCCTTTGAAACCTCAGCCCAGCCCGGTCTCAGCAGGGGACCCAGGGGTGTCACACCTCAGGCCCGTGTCAGGGGCAAAGTTCTAAGGCTGGGGACCTGGGAGATGAGAGAGGGGGCAGCACAGACTGGGGAGCCCTTCTCCCGACTTCTGGGGTTTTCGTTCCTTGCTCCCAGAGATGGAGGGGGGGGCTGCTGTCACAGCCCAGAAATCAAAACCAAAGGATCAGGTTCGATGTGGAGGTTCCTTCCCCGAACCCCACTTGGGAAGTGTCGACACCCTCTGCCTCCATCAGAGGGGATGTAGGAATCTGGGCATGTCTGGGGGCTCTGAAGTGGTTCCTTGGTTCCTTTATTTTTTTAAAGATTTTATTTAGTTATTTTTAGAGAGAGAGGAAGGAAGGGGGAGAGACAGGGAGAAAAGCATGGATATCAAAGAGAAACATTGATTGGTTGCCTCTCCTAAGGGCCCTGACTCGAACTGAACCCACAAACCAGGCCTGTGTCCTGACCAGGAGTCGAACTGGGGCACCCAGTTTGCAGGACAACACACAGCCCACTGAGCCACACCTGGGAGGGCTGAGGGGTTCCTTTTGCCATGTCCCCTGTGACCCTGTGCCCTTTGTATCTGGGATGGGGGATGGGCTGGGGCCTGTGGCCCCACATAGCTGCGTGTGAGGTCTCCTTTTGTCATAGTGGTGGCTTCTCAGGTCCTGGGGACATTCTGAGGAGGAGCTGGCTGATGCAATGTAGCCCCAGGAGTCAGAGTTTGGAGATGGCAGCAAGATGTCCAGCGTCTCCCCAGCCCAGGAGGACAGGGTGTCAGCTCCGCATCCTCCTCCTCAGCCCCAGGCAGCCAGCACCGGCCAGGGCATCCTCCTCTGCCGGGTGCCAACCCTGACCTCGCCCTGTGCCAGCCAGGAGACCCTTGGCACAAGACACATGCTCGACCATTGACTCACACTGCTGACGTCACTCTCTCCACCAACGTCCTCCTGCTCCAGACACTCAGGTCAGGGCAGACACCGGGATCACCCTTGCAGCCCTCTCCTTTCCTCACTCTCAGGACAGGTGTGATGGCGTCGGGATCCCCCCCGTCTCTACCCGAGTCCTCTGAGGAAAGCAACAGGAGCCGACTCTGTTCCTCAGGTCCTGACAACCTGACATCCTACCGAAAGGCTGTGGTTGTCACTTGTCACTGAGCCCTGGCCCACTGAGGGTCTCTCTGTTCTCAGATGGGCCCTCCTCCTGAGGGGGAGACAGAGGCCTCAGGTCTCTGAGCTCCTGGATCCATTTCTCCTCCCTCTCAGGGCCGCTGCTGTGTATACAGTAGGTGCTCAGTGTGTGTGCAAGGTCAGTGACGACTTGCAAAGATTTGAGGGCGACAGAAGGACTTGGGGAGGCAGGAGCCTGGCTTCTATCCAGGCGCTCAGAAGGAAAGGGTGTCAGCTGCCGTGACTCAGCAGACACACACACACACTCACACACACGCAGGCATGACGAGAGGGAACCTCCTGGGCTTCTCCAGACACATTCAGAGCGTAGCTCTGCAAAACAGGAAACCTGAGGATGTCGCCATATCCCAAGCCGGTTTGCAAGAAGCTCATTGACAAATCAGCTCCTTAGCTTTCGATTTCTGGGTCTGTCAAGAACCCCATTTCTGTTCCTGCAAGCCAGTCACCAGATGGAGTCCTTCTGGGAAAGGCAGAGCCCCAGTAGAAAGCATGTGGTCTCAGCTTGGGAAAGTGGTTCCCGCATTATGTGCTGTCTGAGTGCAGGTTCCGGGCAGACCTGACCCCGACTCTCTGAGGCCCCATCGCCCTAGACTCCAGTCTCAGTGTTTGCCCATGACTCGGGGGCCCCGAGATCCTGGAGACCCCACGTGACACAGCCTGAGAACATTGCTGGGACCCCGGGCTGGGCATGGTCAGCCTGTCCTCGATCTTGCCTATAAGCTGGTAACGTGACCTATAGGCGGGCAGACCTGGGAGCTCATACAGAAGAGCCCCTCCCCGAGTTGGACACACAACCCCTGGGAGCAAGTACTGGGCCAGCCCCCGGCAGTCCAACAGGGGCCCGGATGGACGGTCTGTGGGACAGAGAGACATCCTCTAGGGCTCAAACACAGCCAGCTAGGGCTCAGGTCACATTGGGGCCTGGAACACAGGGTCCCCACCTTGGTCATAGTCTGGAGGTGGAGAGAAAGACACGGTGGCCCTTGCTGACGGGGTA